TACTAATAGGTCTATAGTTTGAAATATCACTACGATGACCTTTCTTATATAAATAAGTGTAACATAAGAAATTTTCCATAGTGTAGGAACTTTGGATAATTGTAAAGATCTTTTATATAAAATTTGTAGGGGAAAACATAAATTGTGAGCACATTGTTTTAAAAATAGTGATGGAATACCATCTGGACCTATTTTGACAGAAGAATCTAAGGAAAGTAATTTAGACAAAACAAGGTCGGTGGATATTTCAAATGAATTAATATCAACAAGATTGTCTTTCCAAATTGATGAACTCATATTAACATCAGTATCAGCTACCGTATATACAGTTTGAAAATAAGTAGCAAACAAATCTGCAATGCATTTAGAAGAATCAGCTATGATATCACCTAAGAACATAGAACAGGGAAACCCCACTGTATTAGATTTTGATTTCTTGACAAATGACCAAAAACTATTACTATTAACAATAATATTCTGCTCAACACTTCGAATATGATTTTTCCTACACAAGTTCATAGCCAACTTACATGTACGTCTAAGATCACAAAACTTTACGTAATCTGAATATAATCCAGTTACCTTAAAATTCCTATGAGCTTCTCTTTTTTTCACAATAAGAGATCTTGTATGGTTATCAACCTAATAAGGAAAGTTGTTCTGAGTTTTTTTAACAACAATAGGAACAAAACGAGTTATAAGAGAATTTATGCGAGAATAAAAATAATACATACAATCATCAAGATGAGAAAAATTTTCCATGGTAAACCAATCAATTTGCTCCAGGTAGGTATTAATTACATCAAATGACGCGTTCTTAAAATCCAAATAAGATGTGTATATAGTACGATCTAGTAAAGGCAAGAATATGTCACTAATTTTAATAATAAAGGCAGGATGATTTATATCTTTCGGTAATAAGGATAAACATTCTTCAATGATAAGTGCAGTATTACTAAAGCTTAAATCCAAAATTACATCATTTCCATTCAATATAAAGTTGTATTGAAAAAGACCACTCACAGCGAAATTGTCACAAATTAATTCTTCAATCATTGAAACAACATTAACAGGTATTAAATAATTACAATTAGTATCACTTTTCCAGCTCAATCCAGGCAAATTGTAATCACCAACAATACATACTGTAGTTTCAGGATAATCAGCAATTAAAGAATCAACCAAAGATATATGGTCAGAATACACAGCTAAGAGTGAATTAGGAGGAAAATACACAGTTCCAATTATAATTTGAATGCCATTAAACGAGATTAGTATCCAAACTTCTTCTCTTTGAAGAGTATCAATTTGCAGTAAAGTAGAAGGAATATTCTTTATAACAGCTATCATTACACCACTACCACGTTCTTTATTCGTCTCTAAAAAGGATCTATCCTTTCTGTAAACAACATATCTATCATCTATAATTTCCCCATTCAAAAATGTGTCATTAAGCCAAGTTTCTGTTAATGAAATTATCGGATAGTTCTCGCACAATACATTAGAATATAAATCACTGATTTTAGTTCTCAACCCTCTAACATTCTGATAATAAATTGTTAACTCTGAGTTTGCTGATCTGGAGTTTTTTGAAAATTTGATTGTCTGCGTAAACTACGAGGACTAAAATATTTACGAACAGCAATACCGATTGGCCAAAAAGATGGATCCAAAACTTTTTCAATTAATGAGAAATCGATTGATAATTTAAAGGAACTGTGTTTATCAGGGAATTTAGAATTTAATTGTTTAAGTTCAAAGGATTGAATATTGTCCATATTGTCATTTGCGCTACAAACACACTGTAATTTATTCCTAATGTAATCTTCAATCTTACTAATAGATATTAACCCCAGGATTTACTCTTGTGACATGAATGTCCCTTTTTCGTCGCCTAGTGACAGCAACAAACTCATTACTACGATCTTCAAGAGCATCTCCATTTTCATTGGTGACTTGAGAAGTACCAATTATCAAGTCTTCATTACCCTCGTTTCACTGGTAGCATTAGTAATATTTGACTTAACTGGAGCATTTTTATTGGGTTCATACACGTTTTGATTATCTTCCACAACAGCTGAGCGAAGGTTTACATTTCTTTTAAACGATGTTTTATCCAGGTTTTTCTGAGGACCTTTCTTGTCACTACTACCACTAATTGTGAAGACATTACTTTCAGTTTCATTACTAGATAAAACTGATGATTTTTCAGATAAACGATCATCTTCTCGAAAATACTTGATTTTAGAATCTGAACCTCATCTCTAAGTTTTTTAATTTCGATCATTAGAGGAGACACAGCCTTGTCGACCATTTTATTTAACAGATTGGAAAATTCATCACTATTCAAAAACTTTAAAACATCTTGAGCTGAAGATGTAGAACTATTGGAACTTACAGCACTTATCACATACTAGCTCATTATTCGACAGAAAAATAAGCTTGTTATTCCTTTCTTGTACCACTAAAGCACAGCTTTTATGAAAGTACGTATGACACTTAACACACGACCAGGCATTAGACACTTTGTTTTTACATTTTCTGCATTGCTTATCAACATCATCATTTATTTTAGAAGACAACACTGTATGCGACACGTTTACACTCGCCGACGCCATCTTAATTTCAATTTCTTTGTTTTCCTACTTCCTCTACTCGAATATCTTGCGCTACAATTTTCTCTTCCTTTCCATTCAACAGTTCCATAAAATGTTTCTTCCACTGTATTATAGGTATGTCTTCACTAATCGTGATTTTGTTCTTCCGTTCTTTATTTATACACTGCCATGCCTCTTGCTCAGTTCTTATGGCTTTAATTTTTTCTTCTTCTTCTTGCTGTATCTCTTCTTTCTTTTATTTGCATCGTTTTCTATAATTATTTTTTGCTTGCCAGTACTCTTCTTTTATACCTTTCCCCTTTTTCCACCTTCGTAAACATTTCCTTGCTTCTGTTTTTAAATCTCTGCATTTGCTATTCCACCATCTGTTTCTCTTTTCTAAATTTCTCGTTACAATTTCTTTTCTTATGGCTGCTTTTTCAATTTCTCTTTTTAATTCTTCCATTTTCTTTTCAGTTCCTTTTTCTTTAAATTCCACTTCCAACATTTTTTTTTATAATGCTCAATTCTTTTTTCATTCCATACCCATATCTTCTTCTCTTTTCCTACTTCATTCCTTAAGCATCCGCTCCCTCTACTTATGCCCCTCAATTTTACTTCTAGTGGCATGTAATCGGAGTCCACTCTTTCTCCTATCTTGAATGTTTCTACCTCTTCTTCTGCTAATCCGTTTACTATTACGTAGTCTATTACCGATTCCCCTCTTTTACCTATCCAGGTAAATTCCCCCTCCTCGTCCCCTTCCTTCGCCCCATTCAAGACTTCCCAACCTCTTTCTTCAATTAATTCCCATAGCAATTTTCCGTCTTTGTTTTCTACTTCATCTTTCGATTTTCGTATGTTTTCCCCGTCTTCTTCCCTGCTATTGTTCCCTATTCTGGCATTAAAGTCCCCTCCTAGCAATAGAAATTCTTCTTCGGACTCTTCGATTTTTTCTTGTATTTCTTGTTTCGTGTTTCTCATTCCTCTACTATATATTGTGCAGATTCTCCATCTTTTTTTATTTACAATCAGTTTTCTTTTAACTAAGCCTTCCATTTCTATTGCCCCCTCTCCTATTTCTTTTATATCTTTCTTCACTCCTGTTATGATTCCACCTTTTGCTCTACCCTTGCGTTTTTCTTTTTTTGCCCCTTGCAATTTCCACTGAAATTCCTTTGGCAACACGTCTTTCAGTTTGTTCCAGTCTGTCTCTAGTATCCATGTTTCTGTTAGTCCCACAAAATCAAAATTTTTCAGGTAGTCCCAAAATAAATTATCTTTCTTTTTCAAACCCGCAATATTCCAAAAGAGTAATTTTAAACCACGTTTATCTCCCCATTTTTCTTTCCCATTCTTCTATTATGTACAAAATCTACATTCTTAAACTTAAAGTCTTTATTTGTCCCATCATTACTACCCCTCCCCTTTGTGTTTCTTTCTTCGGTTAGTGCTGACTTGATTTGAGAAATTTTTCTTCCAATTTTTCTTTATTTTCATTCCATGTATACATTTTGTCCCCTACTTTCAGCTTCTTATATCCCACTCTTGTTGTGTATCCTTTTTTTATTTCCTCTTTAGCTACCTACCTAATTCCTTTTTGAATTTTTTGCTCTTGTACTGTCCAATCATTATCAATATATATTCTCTTTCCTCTCAGTTTATTTTTATTCTTCATCACCTCTTGTTTTTCCTCCCAAAGCGTCTTAACCAGTATTTTCTTGCTTTCCTCTTTCCCTATAATTACTGTTTCCGACACTTTCACTTCTACCTCAATTTCTTTTTTCAAAAATTCCTCCACTTCTTTTGCATCTGTTTTTCCCCTTATTTCCATACCCGTAATTATGAAATTGTTTCTTCTTTCTTGCCTCTCTTTTTTTTCCAACTTCTTCTCTAAATTATTGATTCTTTCTTCGAAGCTTCTCTCGTTTTCTTTCCATTCTTCTCTTTCTCTTTCCAGTATTCCATTTATTGTCTGTAATTCTTTTTTTACCCCTCTATTTTCTTCTCTCAGTTGTTTCATTTCTTCCATTAGTTGCTTCATCATTTCCATCAACGGCTCTTGTCCTTGCTTTATTTGTTCTCTTTCTTCCATTTTCAATGTCGCTTCCTTCACTATCAGCTCTTTCTCGCCAGGCCGCAAAGATATCACCAATCTTATCACTCTCAATCGTCTTCTGATTTGACATAACCTTGCTGTTTTTCTTGTCTCAGCAGTTGTATTCGCGTTTTTTTTTTACGAAATATTCTCTTTTGCTGCTTTTACTATCACCCAATCACACTTGTTACCCCTGAAAATCACTGTTTACTATGACTTTAACTTCAGCTGTTGCTAACAATGTGCACTCAACCAAGAATCCAATTAATTCTTATACTTATTTAATATCTCTGTAAAACTTTCAGACTCTAGGTTCGTTCCTCTGCTCCGTCATCCCCATGCTGCAAATGGCCGGGATCATGGCCAGCTCCGTCGCCCTGATGTTCATCGCCATGGACCGCTACCGCAACGTAGTCCACGCCCTCAGCAAAAGATGGAACCCTCCGCCCTCCACCTGCATCCTCCTGACCATTATCTTGTGGATCGTCATCCTCTTAGTCTCCTACCCCCTCTACCACTTCTTCAGCCAACAGCCCGTCATAATAGTGTACGCCTACCCTACCGACTTCGGGAACAACTTCGAGTACGAACCAGCCGACGTTTGCATCAGCTTCGAGAAAGACAACATGAAGATCTACTACATCGTCATGGTCATTATCATCTTCCTCCCTCTGTTGATAGTCTTCCTCTGGTTTTACTACAACATCGCCTCTCTCGTCTGGAAACACCGGAAGCCTGTGACTTCCGTCCTCCCGAACGAAGCCTCGGCCTCCTCCACCTCCAACTCGGAAATCCGGATCAAGCACGTCAAAGCGATGGGGAAGAATCGGGATATTAAGGTGGAGAGGAAGATACGCACGTTTAAAATTATCATCACTTTGATGATGGTTTTCATAGTTTGTCGGTTGCCGTACTTCGGGGTTTATATTTTGAAGTTGTGGGTTCAGAATTACGGGATGTGGGTGTGGTATTTGAACTACTCGTTCGTTGCTTTGCATATTGTTAATTGTTGTTTGAACCCGTTGTTGTATACTTTTCTTAATCCGACGTTGACGGTGTGGATTAGGGTTAAGAAAAGTGCCAATGATTTCTTTTGGGAGATTTGCTGCATATGCTTCTCGAGGCGGGAGTTTGATGAGTTCGAGAAGGAGAACCCGTTCGTGGTGAACGAATTTAATAGGAGTAGGTGCAATTCGAAGGTAAAGTTCCAAGAGCACGTGAACGAAATACAGGCGAAATATTAGAATATTGTGTTAATGTACTTAGAATTTATATTTAGGTTGTACTGAATATTACTATTTACAGTTACTTAATAAAGTACTATGTGTAAAACTTGCAGTTTTATTTGTAAAATACACTTTTAGAAGTACGATATTCCATTGGGCAAAAAAAATCTTTAAGTATAATTTTTGAAATTTTTTTTGGTAAAATTTGATATTGCTTACAAAGAGTTGAAAAATACAGAAAAAATCTGAGAAATAGATCTTGACGAACTGAATAAAAAAGTATAATGTTTTAATGGTCCCGGACCAAGATTACAGGATAACGTAAAAACATTTCAGAATATTCGGGTTCGAATTAAAATTTTTAAAATATTTCAAAATTTTTGAGATTTTATTTTTGTGATAGAAGTTTTCGAAATAATGAAGGTGTAAAAATATTTTGGAGGCCTAAATTAAAAGAATATCTTTCTTGGTAATTTTTGATAGTGCTTAGGATGAAGTCAAAAATCACAAAAAAACGAAAAAACTGGATAGCCAAAACAAAATTCGAATTCAAAATTTACTTTATGAAACATTTGAAAATCTCCCAGATTTTATTTTGAAGATTCCGAACAAATGTAGGATTTTTTGAAAAAATGAAATCCTAAAAACCTCTGAAGGATAAATTAACAACTGAAAGTCTTATTAGTAATTTTCGACAATGCTTAGAAAAACGTCAAAAATTCAAAATTGGAGGGTATTGAAAAATTGAGTTTAGACGAAGTTGCATAAAATCCAGCAAAATTCGGGAAGATAAATTTCGACGAACTGAATCGAAAAATATAATGTGATCATGGTTCAGACTAAGATTACATGACATAAGAATTTTAAAAAATATTTGGATTCAAAGCCAAATTTTTAAAATATGTCAAAATTTTGGCGATTCTGGAAAAAATTGTAGGAATTTTCGAAGAAAAGAAGGTGCAACAAAATTCTGAAGCTCTAAACTGACAAGAGAAATTCTTTTCCTAAATTTTGACTGTGCTTATAGGAGGAGGCCAAAAGTCCACAAAAAATTCAGAAAGATAGATTTCTACAAGCTGAATCGAAAAACATAGCGTTTGGTTGTATGAGATCTAGACGGAAAAAGTGGGTCGTCAAAAATTACGAAAAAAATCCTGTTTACTCAAGAATAATACGTCTATCAAAATTCAAACTTTTGAAATGTCTCAAAGTCTGCCAGACATTATTTTGGGATTTCTGGAAAAATGAATGTTTTTGAGAAAATGAAACAGTAAAAAACGTTTTGAATATCTTTTGGTAACTTTCGACAGTATTTGAGAAAATGTCAAAAATTTCATACCGGGGAATATTCAAAAATTGAGCTTTGGTGAAGTCGCCCAAAAATCCAGGTAAAGTTCGATGAAACAAATGTCGACGAACTGAAGCGAAAAATATAATGTATTTTTGGACCGGGACCAAGATTACACGAGAACATAGAAAAATTTCAAAATATTTGGGTTCAAAGTAAAATTTTTTAAATTTCTCAAAATTTGTCAGATATCATTTTGGTTAATTTGGAAAGTTGTTAGGAATTTTTGAAGAAATGAAGATGTACAAAAAATCTGAAGGCCTGGATCAATAAAATTAATTATTTTTGATAAGTTTTCACAGTGCCTAGGAAGGGGCCCAAAATCTATGAAAAAATCTGGGTAATAGATTTCTCGAGCTGAATAGATAAATACAACATTTGTGTTCCCGAATCAAGATTTAAACGAACATAAAAAATCCCTAAGGAACGAAAGCACTTTTCTTGAGAAATTATTTAGCACAACTTAGGTAAAACTCTGGGTCACTAAAATTTATGAAAAAAATCTCGTTTACTCAAAAATGGTACGTCTATCAGAACAAATAGTTCAATGTCGATATAACAACTGGTTTTCGAAATATTTGATTTGAAAATAAAATTTTTGAAATATTTTAAAACTTGTCAAATTTTACTTTGACATTTTTTGAAAAAATTAAACCATAAAAAACATCTGAAGGTGTACATCAACGACGAAAAGTCTTTTGGTAATTTTCGACAGTACTTGAGAAAATGTCAAAAATTTCATGAGGGGGTTTGAAAAATTTAGCCTTGCCGAACTGAATCGATAAACATAAAATGTTCATGATCCCGGACCGAGTTTACAGGAGAACGTACAAAATTTTCAAAATATTTGGGTTCAGAGTCAAATTTTTTAAATATGTCAAAATTTGTTACATTTCATTTTGGCTAATTTGGAAGGTTGGTAGAAATTTTCGAAAAAAATGAAGATACATAAAAAATTATGTAGGTTTAAATTAATAAAAGAAATCCCTTTTGAAAATTTTTGACAGGAAGCGAACATGAAAAATCTCGCAGCGATGGTAGCATTTTTTGTTAAGGACTTATTTAGCTCAACTCCGGAAAAACTGAATTATGAAAAAAATCGTGCTCATCCAAGACTGACATGTCTATCAAGAAAAATATTTCAAAGTCCATACAGCAATCAGTTTTCGAAATATTCGTGTCCAAAATCAAACATTAAAAAAAAATAATTTTGTTTTGGCGATTCTGAAAAAATGGTAAGAATTTTCGAAGAAGTGAAGGCGCAAAACAATTCTGAAGGCCCAAATAATTAAAAGAAACTTGATAAAAAATTTGACAAATTTTGACAATGCTTAAGTAGTGATGAAAAATCCACAAAAAATTTAGGAGTTAGATTTCGACGAACTGAATAAAAAACTAACGTGTTCATCGTCTCAAAAAAGATCTCAGGAGAACATAAAAATTGTCAAAGTATTCGAGTTCAAAGTCAAATTTTTAAATTTCTTAAAGTTTGTCAGACTTCATTTTGGCGATACAGAAAAAATCCACGAAAAATTCAGAGAGATAGATTTCTACAAGCTGAATCGAAAAACAAATCAATTAAAGAATTTTTTGAGAAAGATATATTTAATTCCACTCCGGGAAAACTGGCTAGCCAAAAATTGTGAAAAAAATCCTGTTTACTCAAGAATAATACGTCTATTATTAAAAAAAAATCCAAGTCAATATGACATGCAGTTTTCGAGAAATTGGACTGAAAATTCAAATTTTTCAAATATCTCGAAGTTTGCCAGACATTATTTGGGAGTTTTTGGAAAAATTTTAAGATTTTTTGAAAAAATGTTGCCGTAAAAAACTTGTGAAGGTATAACTCAACGACAGAATGTGTTTTGGTAACTTTAGACAGTACTTGAGAAAATCCGAAAAATTTCGTACCGGGGAGAAATTCAAAAATTGTCCTTTTGCGAAGTTGCCTAAAATACAGGTAAAAAATTAATTTCGATGAACTGATTAAAAAAACATAGCATGTTCACGGTCTTAGAGCAAGATTTCAGGAGGACATTAAAAGATTTCAGAACATTCGGGTTCAAAATCAATTTTTTTAAATATGTCAACAGCTGCCATTTCATTTTGAAAAAAAGTCAAAAATTTCATACCGGAAGTCTTGAAAATTTGAGCTTTCGGGAGAAGTTGTGTAAAAATCCAAGTAAAATTTGGGAAGATAAATTTTGGCGAACTGAATCGAAAACATAACGTAAAAAGATTTCAGTTTGTCAGATTTCTTTTTAACTATTCTGGAAAAAAAAATTCTTTAAGTATAATTTTCAAAATTCTTTTTGCTAAAATTTGATATTGCTTACAAAGAGTTGAAAAATCCACCAAAAACACCCGAGAAATTAATGATTTCAAAACATTCTTTTTCAAAATAAATTTTTTAAAATATGTCAAAATCTGTCAGATTTCATTTTGGCGGTGAAGGTGTAGAAAAAACAAAATCAATAAGGAAACGTAGTCCAAAGTCGTTACGACAACTGTTTTCGAAATATTCCAGTTTAAAATCAAATTTTTAAAATATTTCAAAATTTGTTAGATTTAATTTTTGCAATTCTGTAACAACAACAGACAGTTCTTTGGTAATTTTCGACAGTGCTTGGAAAAAAGTCAAAAATATGTTGAAATTTGTCAGATTTCATTTTTCAGTTTTCGAAGTAACGAAGATGTAAACATATTTTGAAGACCTAAATTAAAAGAAATTCTTTTTGGGAATTTTTAACAGGAAGAGGTCAAACAATTCAGCGTTTGGTGGTCCCGGATCAAGATTCCCGAAGCCATGGAAGCGATTCTGAAAAAATGGTAGAAATTTTCAAAGAAGTGAAGGCTTAAAAAATTCTGAAGGTCCAAATTATTGAAAAAAAACTCTCTTTGGTAAATTTTGATACTAATTAGGAACAGGTGAAAAATCTACAAAAAATTCTGGGAGTTCGATTTCGACGAACCGAAAAAAAAAGACGTGTTCATCGTCTCCAAGAAAGATCTCAGGAGAATATAAAAAATATGGAACTATTTGAGTACAAAATGAAATTTTTAGATTTCTTAAGTTTGTCAAATTTTATTGTGACGATTCCGGACAAATGTAGGAATTTTTGAGAAAAAGAAGTAAAAAATTTCTAAAAGTTTGTCAAGAGAGGAAAGTCTTTTTGGCTATTTTTGACAGAATTATTTTTGAAGGTATTAAAAAACTGAATTATTGGAGAAGTTGTCTAAAAATCAAGGTACATTTTTGAATATCGATTTCGACGAACTGAATAAAAAAACGTAACGTGTTCATGATCCCAGAACAAAGTTCAACGTTAAATTTTCAAAATATGTCAAAATTTCTCAGATTTCGTTTTGACGATTCTGAAAAAACGATAGGAATTTTCGAAGAAATGAAAGTAAAAAAACATTCTGAAAGTCTAATTTAATAAAAGAAATTTTTTTTACTGAGCTTTGACAGTGCTTATAAAGAAATAAAAAATGTACAAAAATTAATGGGAGATTTTTACGATCTGAATCGGAAAACACAGCGTTTGGTGGCACTAAAATCCTGAAGCAACGAAAGCATTTTTTGTTAAGGACAGATTTATCGCAACTCCGAAAAAACTCAGTGGCCAATATTTATGAAAAAACTTGTGTTTACTCAAAAATGAGGAAAAATATTCGAAAATCGATTCGGCAACTGGTTTTCGAAAAATTCGAGTTCAAAATCGATTTTATGAAATATTTCAAAACCTCCCAGATTTTATTTTGGAGATTCCGAACAAAGGTTAAGTCTTTTAGTAATTTTCGATAGTACTTAGGAAATCGTAAAAAAAATTAATATCGGAGGGCATTGAAAAATTGAATTTTAGCCAAGTTGCATAAAAATCCAGCAAAATTTAGGAAGAAAAATTTCGACGAACTGGATCGAAAAATATAAAGTGCTGATGGTCCCCGACTAATAAGTACAGAATAACAGAATTCTGAAGATCTACACCCACAAAAGAAACTCTTTTGGTAAATTTTGACAATGCTTATAGGAGGAGGTCAAAAATCCACCAAAAATTCAGAGCGATAAATTTCTATAAGCTTAATCGAAAAACACAGCGTTTTTATAATATCGGAACAAGATTCAAAGTTAAATTTTTAAAATACGTTAAAATTTCTCAGATTTCGTTCTGACGATTTTGGAAAAAATCTGAATTTCCTCGAAAAAGGTATGAATGTTTAAGGACATGAAAGTGTAAAAAAATGTGAAAGTCGAATTTAATAAAAAAAAATCTTTTTTTTGAAAATCATAATGTGTTAATGGTCTCGGACCAAGATTACATGAGAATACACGAAAATTTTAACATATTCGGGCTCAAAGTCAAATTTTTAAAATACGTCAGAATTTGTCAGATTTTATTTTGGCGATTCTGGAAAAATGGCAAGAATTTTAGTAATGAGATGTAAAAAACTTTGAAGGTTAAATTAATAAAAGACATTTTTTTGGTCATTTTGGACAGTATTTGGAAAAATTTGAAAAATTTCGTAACAGAGGATATTGAAAAATCGAGCTTGGGCGAAGTTGCTTGAAAATCCAATAAAATTCGAGTAGATAATTTCGAGGAACTGAATCTGTAAAGACTACAAGAGAATGTATATACATTTCAAAAATTTAGTAATAAGTTGGAGACAATTTTTTAAATATGGCAAAATTTGTCAGATTTCATTTTGCCTAATTTGGAAGTTGGTAGCAATTTTCGAAAAAATGAAAATGTATAAAAAATTATGTAGGTCTAAATTAATAAAAGAAATTCTTTTTGGGGATTTTTGACAGCAAGAGGTCAAAAATTCACAAAAATGCAGCAGAACATAAAAAATCCCGAAGCGATGGAAGCATTTTTTGTTAAGCAACTGCGAAAAATCATGAAAAAAATCTTGCTCATTCAAGAATGACACGTCTATTAAGGAAAATATTCCAAAGTCCACACAACTAGTTTTCGAAATATTCGAGCCCAAAATCAAATTTTTAAAATACCTCAAAATTTGCCTAACTTTATTTTGCGAATCTGAAAAAATGGTAGGAATTTTCGAAGAAGAAAAGGTGTAAAAAAATTCTGAAAATCCAAGTTATAAAAACAAACCCTCTTCGGTAAATTGTGATAGTACTTTAGGAAGAAGTGCAAAATCCAGAAAAAATTTCGAGGAAAAGAAGGTGTGACAAAATTTTGAAGGGAGAACATATTCTTTTGGTAAATTTTGACAGTGCTTACAGGAGGAGGTCAAAAATCGACGAAAAATTCAGAGAGATAGATTTCTACAAACTGAATCGAAAAACACAGCGTTTGGTTCTACCAGATCTAGATTATATGCGAACATTATAAATTCCTGAACAATTAAAGAATTTTATGTGAAAGATATATTTAGCTTAACTCCGGAAAAACTGGGTGGCCAAAAATTCTGAAAGAAATTGTGTTTATTCAAAAATAATACGTCCATTAATAACAAAAAATCCAAGCCGATACGACAACCAGTTTTCGAGATATTCGACTGAAAATTCAAATTTTTGAAATATCTCTAAGTTTGCCAGACATTATTTTGCCGTTTTTGGAAAAATGTTTTTTTAAGAAAATGAAGCCGTAAAAAACTTCTGAAGGTTTACATCAACACAAAAACTTGTTTTCGACAGTGCTTAAAAAAAACAAAAATTTCATACCCGAGGGACGAAAAATTGAGCTTTGGCGAAGTTGCCTGAAAATCCAGGTAAAATTCGAGATAAATTTTGACGAACTGAATCGAAAAACATAACGTAAAGAAAATTCAGTAGAACATATAACATATCAAATTAAACGGGTTCAAAATATTTTTTTTATATGTTAAAGTTTATCAGATTTCATTTCTACGATTCTGGAAAAATGGTAGGAATTTTTAAGAGAATGAAGTCCTAAATCACTTGTGAATGTCTAAATCAAGAACAAAAAATGTCATACCCGGAGGTAGCAAAAAATTGAACTACTGTCGAAATTGTCTAAAATCCGATTCTGGGAGATTTTGACAAACTGAAATTCTTAAACTATTCGAGTTCAAAGTCAAATTTTTCAAATTTGTCATAATTTGTCAGATTTTATTTTGGCTGTTCTGAAAAATAGGCATTTTCGAAGAAATAAAGATATAAAAAATTCTGGGAGATAAATCTCTACGACCTGAATCAAAAAACACAATGTTTGTTAGTTCCGGATCAAGACTGTAAGCGAACATCAAAAATCTCGAAGCAATGGAAGCATTTTTTGTTAAAGACTTATTTAGCAGAACTCTGGAAAAATTGGGTGGCTAAAATATGAAAAAAATCGGGTTTAGTTAAGAATGATCCGTACTTCAAAAAAAAAAAAAATCAAAATCAATACGACAACTAATTTTTCAAATATTCCAGTTCAAAATAAATTTAAATTGTCTCAAAAGTTTTGCGGACAGATTTGGACGAAGCGATTCGAAAAACATCACGTGTTCACGACGCCGGAGCAAAATTATAGGAAAACATGAAAATTTTAAAAACAGATTCATTTTGGCGAAACTGAAAGAATGGTAGGAATTTTCGAAGAAATGGAAGTTTAAAACAAATTTTTAAGATCAAAATTAATAGAAGAAAATTTTTTTGCTAATTTTTGACAATGCTTAGCTTCAAAAATTCGCAAAAAGATCGGGGAGGTGGATTTCGACGAACTGAACCAAAAAACAGAAAATATCACACTTTTCTAGTTCAAAATTTATCAGATTTTATTTAGCGATTCTGAAAAAATGGTAGAAATTTTCGAATAAACGAAGATATAAAAAAAATTCTGAAAGTCTAAATCAGTAAAAAAAAGTCTCTTTCGTAGTTCTTAACAATGCTTAGAAAGAAGTGAGAAATCCACAAAAAATTCTGGAAGATTTTAGTATTTTTTGTTGGGGACGTATTTAACACAACTTCGAAAAATTGAGCGGTTAAAAATTATGAAAAAAATCATTTTTACTCAAGAATGATATGTCTACCAGAAAAAATAATCCAAAGTGGATATGACAACTGGTTTTCGAGATAATCGATTTCAAAATCATATTTTTAAATTATTTCAAAATTTGCCTGAGTTTGTTTTGGCGATTCTGGAAAAACGGTAGAAAGAGAAAGAAATGAAGCTGTGAAAAAAGTCTGAGAACTCCGTAAAAGTTTCCTGTTTCCAATTGTGTTCTTATACCCACTCATGATAACGTTGCATCTCCATGAACAAATAAATACTTTACCAAAATAGTTCTTTCAAATATTTTCCGTTCTCTTTCCTGTTTAGAATTTTATTTTTATCCTGAACTATATTCGAGTTGCTTTAACGATGTAACTAAAGTAAGTATTTAAGGAACAAAACAGATGAACAGATAGAGTTACATATGTTCTATTTCGTGTACACAAATAAAAATAAAAATAATAAAAATAGGCACTAAATTTACCACATTGCACTAAAACATTGGATATTTAATACTCGTAACACCGATTTCCTCAGTAGTTAAAAGCAAACTTCTTTTGCTTTACTCCGGCGTCAGCACCAAAGAATTAAAAAAAAACCTGTCTGAAGATAACATCTTTTACAATTAAAATAAAAACAAATTTTATATCACTCCTTTGACAAATCGACTTTGTTTCGTTCCGTCCAACCAACAAACTCCCTCTTCGACGACGCTATAAGATTCAACAGTTTTTCACCAGCAGGTGTGTTCTTCTCATACTTAAGAACCTCAGCAGCATTTTCAAGACACTCTTGACACTCCTTAATCATCGCCATCACCGACTTCACCTTAGATTTAATACCCAAATCGAACTTCCTCTTAACCATGATGGTATTAGCCAAGTAAAGCTCGTGGTAGACAACCCCAGTATACAGAGGTAGCCTGCAAACACAACACAAAAATGAAATAAAAAATAGCTTGACGTTTCGATTTTTTTTACCTAGCATTTCCTGGGTCGATCTTCTTACACGTCTCCAACAACTCCTTACACATGGAGATCTTCTTCATCACTGTATCGTCACTAATCTGACTTGGAGTGTACCCCTGTTGGTAGCCATACAACTGTACCAGAGAATGTTTCACAGAAAACACATGGTAGTGATTCGGGTGCAAAAAAGTCAACATTTTCGTCAACAAGTTGTCGAGATCTTTCACTGTAGGTGTGGAAAGTTGAACATGGTCGACTTCTTCACCGATCTGGTTGATCAAATAAGAAACCTCGCTGTTGGTGAGCTTGATGTCGCACTTATTGCACAACCACTCCGTTTTGTCGTCCAATGGATCAACCGGGAGTTGATACCCATCACAAGAATCCGGCCCTGTACCCAGACATCTCAAAGCACTAAGAAAGCTTCCACGTTCTGCAGGATCTTGGCACCGCTTGCAGGCACACGAGAAGTACTTGGTTTCAAGGAGGTGCTCCCTTCTTGCTTGGGTTCCCCAAAGGGCATGTGTGTACATGGTCGTGATATGTTCCCCTTTTTTAATGGGCAAAGCGGCCCTTACAGTTATCCTGTAGCCGTTTTCCTCGTTCTCGAAGCAGTGAATGGTATTGCAAACGCAGTCGTGTTCGATTAAGTAGGCGGTGGGGTAAAGGGCGGAAATTTCCGCCCCTTGGTTGATCTCGAGGGCGTTGACGTCGATGATGCCGCAGATTTTGTGGATTGTTTCTTTGGAAGTGTCGTCGAGAATGACCTTTCCGGTTTTAGTTTGGACGATTTTGAGTGGGGTGAAAAAGGAGTCGTCTAAGTAATCGAATATTCTTTCTTGGACTTGTTTGTAGACTTCGGTGTCTGGGTTTCGCTGGTCCAAATGTGCTTCCATTTCCATTAGTTGGGTGTATTTTTTAGGGTGCTTTTTTTGGAGGAGAAGGCAGCGTAAGGCCAGAAGGGTGTCTTGTCTAAAACAAGGAAAATAAAAAAAATTGAACTATTTTGCTGACGTTGATCTTGTTTAAAAAGAATATTGATATTAGTAAATATCATCAAGCTGTGGCTTTCTTAAAGCGGAAATCAGAAGGTTACCGACCTAGAAAATCGTTTATTTTTTCCAAAGGAGAGATAAATCAATTTCTTAATAAAGTGCATGGTAAGGATTTCTTATTTATGAAGATAAATTGGAGCTCATATTGATAAAAAACAATCTCAAATTTATTAATACTTTCAGGTTGTTTTGATAGTTGGAGTTTTCAGTGCGCTACATAATTTAGCGAGTTTATATTTATGGATAAACACTGTCGAAGTCTTCCGTTTTGTATTCAAATTTTTTAAAAATTCTAAAAATATCGATATTCCAACGGCCGATTCTGGAAAAACGGTTGCAGTTATCAAAGAAACGAGGACGGAAATGACTTCTACAACTCGAAATCTACAAGAAACTGTATTCTGTTTCGTAAATGGTCAAAAATGGGTCGAAATTTGAAAAGGTTTTGGAAAAATTTCACCTTTGGAAAAGTTGTCTTAAAATTCACAAAATAATATGGGATGTATAGATTTCCACGTGTTGATTCCACGTATTCATTTTCGTCGAACAACATGTTCAAAATGTTCAGGATGAAAGTGAAAATTTTTAAAAATTCCAAAAATTTCGGTTTTTCAACGGCCGTTTCTCTAAAAACGATCTAACTTACGAGGACGGAAGTGACTTTTGCAGCTCAAAATCTAGAAAAAAACTGTATCTAGATAAGTTTCGAAAATGTTTAAAAATGATTCGAAATTTGAAAAAGTATATTGGAAAAATTTCATTTGAAGAAGTTGTCTAAAAATCCACAAAAAATTCTGGGGTACATGGCTCTCAACGTACTGATTCCAAACGGACAGTGTGTTTATTTTCATCGACTTACATTTTCGAAATGTTTGTGATTAAAATAAAAATTTTGAAAAATTCCAAAAATTTCGATTTTTCAGTTGCCGTTTCTGGAAAAGCAATGGCAGAAGTGAGTTCTACAACTCTAAATCTACAAGAAAGTGTATCTAAATAAGTATCGAAAATGTTCAAAAATGGGTCAAAATTTGAAGTGTGGAGAATTCGAAAAATTTCACTTTTGAAAAGTTGTCTAAAAATCCACAAAAATTCTATGGGATATAGAACTCGACGTATTGATTCCAAAAATATAGCGTTTTTGTGGTAATCGGACAACGTTGTCGGAATTTTCTGGTTTAAAGTATTTTTTTTTTTTTAATTCTAAAAATTTCGATATTTCAACGGGTGATTCTCTAAAAATGGTTGGAGTTATCAAAGAAACGAGGCCGGAAGTGAGTTCTTCAGCTCTATACATATCTACAAGAAAATGTATTTAGTTAAGTTCCGAAAATTGTCAAAAATGGGTCGAAATATGAAGAAGTGTATTGGAAAATTTTACCTTTAAAAAATTTCTCTAAAAATCTACAAAAAATTCTGTAGTACATGCATCTCGACGTACTGATTCCAAAACGACAAAGTGATTGTCGTTGAGTCATTGAGCAATATTTTCGAAATGTTCGGCATTCAATTGAAAATTTTTGAAAATTCAAAAGTTTCCAACTTTCAGAAGAGATTTTAAGAAGAGGGGAGAGTTGGAAAAATTTCACCTTTGAAAAAGTTGTCTAAAAATCCACAAAAAATTCTGGGATATATAGATTTCGACATGCTGAATCCAAAAATATGATGTGTTTATATTATCGATATCGAAATTTTCCGTTTAAATTAAATTTTTTTCAAAATTCCGAAAATTTCGATTATTAAATGGCTGAAATTTGAAGTATTGGAGAAATTTTTTCTTTAAAAAAGAAGAAAAATTCACCACAAATTCTGGGATGTACAGATTTTGACGTGCTGAATACAAAAAGAAAGCTTATTCATATTCATCGAGCAATATTTTCAAAATGTTCGTATTAAACTGAAAATTAAAAAAAAATCCAAAATTTCGGCTTTTTAACCACCGTTTCTAGAAAAAAACAGTTGAAGTTATCAAACAAGCAACGCCACAAGTGACTTCTACATCTCGAAATGTACAAGAAAGTGTATCTAGTTAAGGTTCGAAAATCTTCAGAAATGGGTGGAATTTTGAAGAAAGGGGGAAAAAATTTCACGTTTGGAAAAGTTGTCAAAAAATCCACAATAAAATTTGGGATGTGTAGATTTCGTGTGCTGATTCCAAAAAGACAGCGTGTTTATGTTCATCAAGCTATTTTTGATTAATATGAAAATTTTCGAAATGTTCTTGATTAATTGGAATATTTTCGAAAATTCAACGGCCGGTTCTGGAAAAAGAGTTGGAATTGTCAAAGAAAAAAGACTAGTAAAAACTTCTACAGCTCGCAATCTACAAGAACATGTGTCTAGTTACATTCCGAAAATGTTCAAAAATGGGTCGAAATTTAAAGAGCGTGGGAGTATTGGAAAAATTTCACCGTTGAAAAAGTTGTTTAAAAGTCCACAAAAAATTCTAGGATGGATAGATCTCGACGTGCTAATTCCAAAAAAACATTTTCGAAATATTCGTGTTTAAAATGATTTTTTTTGAATTCCAAAAATTCTGGAACAACGGTCGAAGTTTTCAACGAAACGAAACTGGATATGACCTCTACAGCTCGAAATCTACAAGAAAGAGTAGCTAGCAATTTTCGAAAATGTTCAAAAATGTGTCGAAATTTGAGAAAAAGGGATATTTGGAAAAATTTCACCTTTGAAAATGTTATCTAGAAATCCACAAAAAATTCCGGGTTATATAGATCTCGACGTACTGATTCCGAAATTATAGCTTGTTTATGTTTATCGAGCTACATTCTCGAAATGTTTGTGATTAAAGTAAAAATTTCTGTAAATTCCAAAAATGTCGATTTTTTTAAGGCCGTTTATGGAAAAACCGTTGAAGTTATCACAAAAACAAGGCCGGAAGTGACTTCTGCAGCTCGAAAACTATAATTACCTGTAGAAGTGTATACATTTAAGTTGCGCAAAATGTTCAAAAATGTGTCGTAATTTGAAGCAGTGTTGAAAAAATTTCACCTCTCTAAAAAAAAGTTGTCTAAAAATCCATAAAAATTTCTGGGGTATGCAGATTCGAGGTGCTGATTCCAAAATTATTGCGTGTTTCTATTCATCGTCCAACATTTTTGAAATGTTGATGATTAAAGCGAAAATTCTTGAAAATTCCAAAAATTTCGATTTTGCAACGGCCGTTTTTGGAAAAACAGTTGAAGTTGTCAAAAAAAGAAGGCCGGAAGTGACTCTCCATTGGAGAAATTGCACCTTTCAATAAATTGTCCAAAAATCCACAAAAATTCTGGGGTACATACATCTGGAAGTTCTGATTCCAAAAATATAACGTGTTTATGTTCATCGAAAAACGTTGAAATTTTCTGTTTTATTTAAAGTCAAATTTTTAACATATTCCAAAAATTTCGATATTTCTGATTCTCTAAAAATGCTTGGAGTTATCAAAGAAACGAGGCCGGAAGTGACTTCTTCAGCTCTATATCTACAAGAAAATGTATTTTGTTAATTGCCGAAAATTGTCAAAAATGGGTCGAAGTTTGAAGAAGTGTATTGGAAAATTTTACCTTTCAAAAATTTCTCTAAAAATCTGCAAAAAATTCTGTAGTACATGGATCTCAACGTGCTGATTCCAAAACGACAACGTGTTTATATTCATTGAGCAATATTTTCGAAATGTTCGGCATTCAATTGAAAATTTTTGAAAATTCAAAAGTTTCGGTCTTTCAACGGCCGTTTCTGAAAAAACGGTAGAACTATAAAAAAAACAGAACGCAAGTGACTTCCACATTTCTAAATCTACAAGAAAGTGTGTTTTGTAAAGTTTCGAAAATATTCAAAAATCGGTCGTAATTTTAAGAAGGGGGGAGAGTTGGAAAAATTTCACCCTTGAAAAGTTGTCTACAAATCCACAAAAAATTCTGGGATATGTAGATTTCGAAAGGCTGATTCCAAAAATATGGTGTGTTTATATTATCGATAAACATTGTCGAAATTTTCAGTATAAATACAATTTTTTTCAAAATTCCAAAAATTTCGATTATGAAATGGCTGATTTTAAATAAACAGTTGGAGTTATCAAAGAAACAAGGTCGGAAGTGAGTTCTACAGTTCGAAATCTACGAGAATATGCATTTAATCAAGTTTCGAAAATGGTCAAAAATGGGTCGAAATTTGAAGTATTGGAAAATTTCTTCTTTAAAAAAGTTGTCAAAAAATTTACCACAAATTCTGAGATGTACAGATTTTGACGTGCTCAATACAAAAAGATAGCGTGTTCATATTCATCGAGCAATATTTTCGAAATGTTCGGTATTAAACTGAAAGTTTAAAAAAATCCAAAATTTCGCTTTTTTAACCACCGTTTCTAAAAAAACAGTTGAAGTTATCAAACAAGCAACGCCACAAGTGACTTCTACATCTTGAAATGTACAAGAAAGTGTTGTCTAGTTAAGATTCGAAAATCTTCAGAAATGGGTGGAATTTTGTAGAAAGGGGTGAAAAATTTCACCTTTGGAAAAGTTGTCAAAAAATCCGCAATAAAATTTGGGATGTATAGATTTCGTGTGCTGATTCCAAAAAGATAGCGTGTTTATGTTCATCGAGCTATTTTTGATTAATATGAAAATTTTCGAAATGTTCTTGATTAATTGGAATATTTTCGAAAATTCAAAAAATTTGGTTTTTCAACGGCCGGTTCTGGAAAAAGAGTTGGAATTGTCAAAGAAAAAAGACTAGTAAAAACTTCTACAGCTCGAAATCTACAAGAACATGTGTCTAGTTACATTCCGAAAATGTCCAAAAATGGGTCGAAATTTAAAGAGCGTGGGAGTATTGGAAAAATTTCACCTTTGAAAAAGTTGTCTAAAAGTCCACAAAAAATTCTAGGATGGATAGATCTCGACGTGCTAATTCCAAAAAAACAGCGTGTTTATGTTCATCGAACTACATTTTCGAAATATTCGTGTTTAAAGTATTTTTTTTTAAATACAAAAATTCGATATATATGAACGGCCAATTCTGGAAAAACGGTCGAAGTTTTCAACGAAACGAAACTGGAAATGACCTCTACAGCTCGAAATCTACAAGAAAGAGTAGCTAGCAAGTTTCAAAAATGTTCAAAAATGTGTCGAAATTTGAAAAAAAGAGATATTTGGAAAAATTTCACCTTTGAAAAAGTTATCTAAAAATCCACAAAAATTCCGGCTTATATAGATCTCGACGTGTTGATTCCGAAATTACAGCGTGCTTGTGTTTATCGAGCTACAGTCTCGAAATGTTTGTGATTAAAGTAAAAATTTCTGTAAATTCCAAAAATTTCAAATTTTTTACGGCCGTTTCTGAAAAAAACGTGGAAGTTATCAAAAAACCAAGGCCGGAAGTGACTTCTACAGCTCGAAAACTACAATTACCTGTATAAATGTATACATTTAAGTTGCGTAAAATGTTCAAAAATGTGTCGAAATTTGAAGCAGTGTTGAAAAAATTTCACCTATCTAAAAAAAGTTGTTTAAAAATCCACAAAAAATTCTGGGGTATGCAGGTTCGAGTTGCTGATTCCAAAATTTTTGAAATGTTGGTGATTAAAGCGAAAATTCTTGAAAATTCCAAAAATTTCGATTTTGCAACGGCCGTTTTTGGAAAAACAGTTGAAGTTGTCAAAAAAGGAAGGCCGGAAGTGACTCCATTGGAGAAATTGCACCTTTGAAAAATTTGTCCAAAAATCCACAAAAATTCTAGGGTACATACATCTGGAAGTTCTGATTTCAAAAATATAACGTGTTTAGCTTCATCGAAAAACGTTGTTGAATTTTTCTCTTTTATTTAAAGTCAAATTTTTAAGTTTCGAAAATGGTGTTAAAAAATTTTCACCTTAGGAAAAGTTTTCTAAAAATCCACAAAAATTCGCCATGAGCCCAAGGGTGGAGATTAATCGCAAAATCTTTCTTTCTCTAACCGAAATTACCGTGTGAAACATGTTTTGTTGTTGACTTAGGGGGGGGTTACCAAGTCTCTTTTTTCTCAAAATGATCTAATTTCAACAATATGGTAATGTGTAAAACATGTTTCAGATAGTAATTTCATGTTGAGAAATAAAGATTTTGCAAATATATAAACTCCGCCCTCTGGCTCACGACGAATAAAAAAAATCCTTACAATTGAGACGGGGCGGGCGGGCGGGGCTTAAATTTCGTCACTTGTTTAACATACGTAGAGTTCTTTTCATGACAAGGTATTTAAAACATGTTTAAGATGGTAAATTTTTGTCGGGAAACATCGATTTTACAAGTAAGCTCCACCCCTCGGTCGGACAACGAATGAGCAATTCATCACAACTGAGGTTGGAGCGGGTGGGTGGGGCTTATTTTTAATCACTTTTTTCTTTACATATAAAGTTCTCTTTCAACAACATGCTATTTAAAAATATATATAGAAGGTTTCAACTTGTTAAAAAAACAGTTGGGACCCCTGACAAGGTTTCACATTCTTAGAAAAAGAAATTTGGCGCCTTCGAGAAGGTTTTTTATTAAAAAAAATAGTTGGGACCCTCAAGAAGATTTCATATTTTTAAAAAAAGGCACTTGGGGCCCCCGAGAAGGTTTTACATTTTTAAAAATGGGAATCTGGACTCCCGAGAAGTTTTCACATTAAAAAAAATACATTTGGGGCTCCCAAGAACGTTTTACATTTTTAAAAAACATAGGTGTTGGGTTCCCGAGGTTTTACATTCTAAAAAAAAAAATTTAGCGCCCCAGAATAGGTTGTACATTTTTCAAAACGACATTTGGGACCCCCGAGAAGGTTTTACATTTTTAAAAAAGGCATTTGGGACCCCCGAGAAGGTTCCACATTCTTAAAAAAAATACATTTGGGGCCCCCGAGAAGGTTTTAGATTTTTAAAAAGACAATCGGGACTCCCGAAAAGGTTTCACATTAAAAAACAGATATTTGGCGACCCCGTGGTGTTTCATTCTTAAAAAAGACACTTGGACCTTCGAGAAAGTTTTACAACAAAAAAGACATTTGGGGTTCCCGAGAAGGTTTGACATTTAAAAAAAAAACAATTGGGAACCCAAGAAGATGTCATATTCTAAACGAAAAATTTGGTGCCCCTAGAAGGTTTTACATTAAAAAAAAATAGATTTGGGGCCGCCAAGAAGTTCTGATTCCAAAAATATTGCGTGATTATGTTCATCGAACATATTGTCGAAATTTTCTGTAAAATCAAATGTTTTAAAAATTCCAAAAAATCGATAATTCAATGGCCAATTCTCTAAAAACGGTTGGAGTTATTAAAGAAATGATGCCGGAAGCTACAGCTCGAAATCTCCAAGAAAATGATTTTAGTTAAATTTCGAAAATGGTCAAAAATGTGTCGAAACTTGAAGAAGGTAGTAAGTATTGGCAAAATTTCACCTTTAAAAAAGTTGTCAAAAAATGAACAAAAAAGTCTGGGATGTATAGATCTCGACGTGCTGATTACAAAAAAAATATGCCTTTATGTTCATCGAGCAATATTTTCGAAATGTTTGGGATTAAAATGAAAATTTCTGAATTCTACTGTATAAGACCTTGGTGAAACCCAAACTGGAAAATGCCGATCTTGTGTCATCACCAAGATAATCAAGTGCATATTGGTGGACTTGAAAAAATACAGCGCAAATTTGCCAAGTACCCAGTGTTCTTCAAATCTAAGAAATATCCAGAAAGAGGCTTTCCACATAATATTTTTTTGCAACAAGTCCAACTCTCAACCCTGGAAAGTGGGGGGAAGTATTTCTCTGTAACAGATGTTTAAAAACCAGATCGACAGTACAAACTTGCTATCATAACTCAAAATAAAAATTCCAGCATTTAATTATCGCAAATTTAAAACAATCGACGTCTCAACAGCCAAGACAAACCAATACTAATTTGACTACTTATAAACTTTTTTAATTCGTAAGTCAAAAACCGTACATACCTGTAGAAATCGTGCAACCCATTAATCGCCCTCACCTCCCTCAAACTCAAAATCAAGCACTCGTAGCCGTGCTTCTCCCCATCTTGTAACCCTGGACACCCCAGATGACACACCGGAAAATCGCATCCCGGACACCTGGGGGACTCCTCGCAGATGATCAACCTACAACAACCACCCTAATCAGACCACCACCTCTTGTCAAAAACCCACCCCCTACCTGCAACACCCCACACACGGCACCGGTCCCTCCTCCACCATATGCGGCCTAGGCCCATACACCAACGGCAACTCCGAGATGATGACATCACCCGCATTCAAGTCCCTGGAAGCCACCAAACACCGTCCCACTTCCTTCGTGGCCACAACCTCATACGCCCGACACAGACTCTTGTGGGTCTTCCAGTGCTTCTTCTGGTGGTCTTTGCAGCAATAAGACACCAATTTGCACGCCGAACATTTCAAATCAGCCGGCTTTTGACACTCGGCACAGCTATTTTCAGCCATTGTGTGGAGTCGACAGACAGCACTCGGGCACTGATCCGACGTTGGATCGAAATGGGTAAAAATAGGACCGAATGAGTGGAAAGTATTTTTGGAAACAACGTGGTTTAGTTGGAGCGGTGCCAAAGAAAGGGGTCAAAATAAAAACGGAGATCGTTGCAACAAGTCTATTAATAGTCAAAGTTTAGTGGTGGTTTTTCAACCAATCAGTGAAAGTTGAAGCGTCTTGGGTTACGACTTGAGCTAGCTGGGGGTCGAATAAAGCCTCAGTGACGCTCTTCATCTCCTTAACCAAGTCCGCCAGTTCTTCTACATCTTCGTTCTTGACCAGATCTTCGCTTTTACCCATAATGGAAAATCTAGCTTCGAACAACCCGTGCAACAACTCCACCAACAATAAACCTCCACATGGGTACAGTTTTCGGGCTATTTCTACCAAACTCAGACAAATATCCCCCTTGGTCTTCGCCAAATCCTCACCATCGTACAACTTAATCAAAACTTGCTTGACCTGACACACATAGAAGTGATTAGGGTGCAAAAACATTAACAATTTTGCCAAAAACTCCTCCAACTCATCAGCCGTGGGTTTCCGATCTAGAACTTTAGCGACTTCGCCCCCTAGGTGTCGGACGAACTGTACCATCTGGTCATTCGGGAGCTCGATTTTGCACTTGTCGCAAACCCACATGGTACTGGCGCTCGTGGGTTCTAGTGGAAGTTGCGTACCACCACAAGGCTCCGTTCTGGTACCCAAGCACTTCAAAGCCGAGAAAAAAGTACCAAGTTCAGTGGGGTCGGTGCAACGCGGGCACGAGCACAAAGCGTTCTTGGTAGTTTTTAAATGGAAGAGTCGCTCGTGGGTTCCTTCAAACAGGTTAATGTATGAAGAGGTTATGGGTGTGTTTTTGGAGATGGGTGAGTTTGCTCGGATCGTGATTTTGTAGGTGGGGGCTTCGGTTGTGGTTTGGAAGGAGTTGGGGGTGCAGCTGTGGGGGATTAAGGGTACTGTGGGGTAATAAAGTTGCATTGGAGAATTGTTGGGAGCTTCAAATGTGGCAGTTTTTACATAATCAAAAATTTTCTCAAGAAGCTCTTTTGATTTTTCTTCTAAGATCATGGTGCCGGTTTCGGCTTCAACTTTGGCTAGAGGTACCAGGAAGTTGTCTTGTAAGAATTCGACGTGGTTGTTTTGGGTGCTAAAATAAAAAATTGGATGAGTTGTTTTAGTTTCAAGATGGCTAAAAGCTCACTTCAAGTCGTGTATGTTTGGATCTTCGCTCTTCTTGTTGCTTAACAGTTGAATCAAGCTAGTCCACTCCGGTTTGTTGTTTGTTTGAAGAAACAAAATCCTCAGTGGGAATAAAATTTCAAACCTGAGAAAATTGCAGACGATTAAAAATTCTGGAGAAGGTACAATTTACCTAAAATTTTGGGTTTGGGCAAGTTTTAGGACTTGACATTCCAGACCGTGGGTTTTCGGGTTTTTCAAGTCTTCGCATTGGGGGTCGCACACTGGCCAAGCGCAGTCAGAACAGTGAAGAACTTTTTCGGTTGACACGAGTCTGGAAAAATACGAAGACATCTTATAGGGCTAAAAAAAATGTATGTTTTATTTTTTAAATTTTGACTAATGTATTTTTCGTATCCTATGAATTGCGATAAGTCAAAAAAACATGATTTTACTTTTAATTCTTGAATTGAATGAAATAAATGGATATCATTGTCAAAATACTCGAAAATTTTAAGTTTTTTTAAAAATTTTTACATGCGTTAATTTTGAACAATTAAAAATCAAAAAATTGACACATTGTAATATTACAAAATTGAAAAATTGGATAATTGTAAAGTTCAAAATTTACTTATTAAGCAATAAAAATCAAAAATTGCAAAATTATTAAACTCAAAGATGGAACAATTGAAAAATGAATAGTCGAAAATTTGAAAAATCGAAGGATTCCAAAACCGAAAAATTGAAAACTCAGGAATTGAAAAACTGATTCATTAAAGCGAGGCAATTGAAAAATCGAAAAATTGTAAAAACATAAAACTGAAAAGTCAAAAAATTACAAAATTACAAAACACAAAAATCGATAATTTTAAAACTGAACAGCTGAAGATCAGATAATTATAAAAAAGGAAAATCACATTATTTAAAAATCGAAAAATTGTGAAATTGTGAGACTTGAGAAATCAGAATCTTGAAAAATTGAAAATCGAAATTTTGAAAAATTAAAAATCAAAAAATTAGAAAATCGAAACAATGAGATTCGGATAATTGTAAAACAAAAAATTTACAAAATTTAAAAATATAAAAATTATGAAATTATGAAAACGAATGAATTATGAAAAATTGGAATTCAAAATTTTTAAACATTAAAAATCAAAAAATTAGAAAATCGAAACAATGAGATTCGGATAACTGAAAAATAAAAAACTGAAACAAAGAAAAAATTTTAAAACAAAGTATGGTAAAACTGGAAACTGAAAAATTGATTCATTAAAAACCGCATAATTGAGACATCTAAAAATTGAAAAATGTAAAATTGAAAAATCAAAAACGTGTAAAATTGAAAAACCGAAAAATGAGGTACCTTTATAAACGATAAATTGTAAATAATTAAACCGGAAAGTCAAAAACTTGAACAATTAAAACTGAAATTTTGAACAATTAAAAATCGAAAAACTGTAAAATTACAAAATCGAAAAATCGTTAATTTTAAATTAGAAAAGTTGGAAAATCAGATAATTGTAAAATGGAAAAATTGCAAAATTTAAAAATCTAAAAACTGTGAAATTACGAAATTGAAAAATCGAAAACCTGAGAAATTGGAATTCGAAATTGTGAAAAATTAAAAATAAAGCATTTGGAAAATCGAAACAACATAATTCCAATATTTTAAAATTGAAAAATTGAACAATTTAAAAAAACAAAAAATTTTTAAAACGAAGGATTAGAAAATTGGAAATTGAGGAATTGATCAATTAAAAACCGATTAATTGAAACATCTAAAAATTTAAAAAATGTAAAATTGAAAAATCAAAAAAGTATAAAATAGAAAAATCAAAAAAGTGTAAAATTGAAAAACCGAAACATCGGATAAATTGTAAAATAATTAAACCGGAAAGTCAAAAACTTGAAAAATTAAAACTGAACTTTTGAACAATTTAAAATCGAAAAATTGTAAAATTACAAAATCGGAAAATTGGATAATTGTAAACTTCAAAATTTATAAAGCTTAAGCTGTAAAAATCAAAAATTACAAAATTATCAAACTGAAAAATCGAACAATTGAGGAACGAAAAGTAGAAAATTTGGAAGATCGAGGAATTGAAAAATCGGAAATTGAAAAACTGATTTATTAAAAACAAGAACAATCGAGAAATCGAAAAATTGTAAAAATATAAAATTGATAAATCAAACAATTGATAAATTACAAACCGAAAGATGGTTAATTTTAAAATCGAAAATTTGAAAAATCAGACAAATAATTGTAAAAACAAATAATTAAAAATCAGATAATTGTAAAATAGAAAATTTACAAAATTAAAAAATCTAAAAATTGTGAAAATATGAAATTGAAAAATCGAAAACCTGAAATATTGAAAAGTTAAAAATCGAAAAATTAGAAAATCGAAACAATGAGATTCGGATAATTGAAAAATAAAAAACTGAAAAAACGAAACAATTTTAAAACAAAGTATTGTAAAATTGGAAATTGAGAAATTAATTAATTAAAAATTGAATAATAAGAAAGGTATAAAATTGAAAAATCAAAACAGTGTAAAATCGAAAAACCGAACAATCGGATACCTTTACAAACGATACATTGTAAAATAATTAAACCGGAAAGTCAAAAAATTAAAACTGAAATTTTGAACAATTAAAAATTGAAAAATTGTATATACATAAAACCGAAAAATCGTTCATTTTAAAATTGAAAAGTTGGAAAATCAGATAATTGTAAAATAGAGAAATTGCAAAATTCAAAAATTTAAAATAGTGAAATTATGAAATTGAACAATCAAAAACCTGAGAAATTGGAATTCGAAATTGTGAAAAATTAAAAATAAAGCAATTGGAAAATCGAAGCAACAAAATTCGGATATTTGATTATTAAAAAATTGAACAATTGAAAAAAACGAAAAATTCTTAAAACGAAGCATTAGAAAATTGGAAATTGAGAAATTGATTAATTAAAAACTGAATAATTGAGACATCTAAAAATTGAAAAAATGTAAAATTGAAAAATCAAAAAAGTATAAAATTGAAAAAACAAAAAAGTGTAAAATTTAAAAACCGAAAAATCGGATACCTTTAAAAACGATAAATTGTAAAATAATTAGACCGGCAAGTCAAAAACTTAAAAAATTAAAATTGAAATTTTGAGCAATTAAAAATCGAAAAAATGTAAAATTACAAAACCGAAAACTCGGTAATTTTAAAATTGAAAAGTTGGAAAATCAGATTATAGTAAAATATAAAAATTACAAAATTTTTAAATTTAAAAGTTGTGAAATTATAAAATTGAAAAATCAAAAACCTGAAAAATTGGAATTCGAAATTTTGAAAAATTAAAAATCAAAAAATTATAAAATAGAAACAATGAGATTCGGATAACTGAAGAAATGTAAAATTGAAAAATCAAAAAAGTGTAAAATTGTAAAACCGAAAAATCGCATAGCTTTAAAAACGAAAACTTGTACAATATTTAAACCGAAAAGTGAAAAACTTGAAAACTTATAACCGACATTTTGAACTATTAAAAATCGAAAAATTGTAAAATTACAAAATTGGAAAATTGGGTAATTGTAAATTTCAAAATTTATTAAGCTTAAGCTGTAAAAATCAAAAATTACAAAATTATCAAACTGAAAAATCGAACAACTGAGGAACGAAAAATAGAAAATTTGGAAGATCGAAGAATTGAAAAATCGGAAATTGAAAAACTGATTTATTAAAAACAAGGACAATCGAGAATTTGAAAAATTGTAAAAATATAAAATTGATAAATCAAAAAATTAAACCGAAAAATCGTTAATTTTGAAATCGAAAAGTTGAAAAACCAGATAAATAATTGTAAAAACAAATAATTAAAAAATCAGATAATTGTAAAATAGATTAAAAATCTAAAAATTGTGAAAATATAAAATTGAAAAATCGAAAACCTGAAATTTTGAAAAATTAAAAATCAAAAAATTAGAAAATCGAAACAATGAGATTCGGATATTTGAAAAATAAATAATTGAAACAACGAAAAAATAAAAAAAAAAGTATTGTTAAATTGGAAATTGAGAAATTGATTAATTAAAAACCGAAAAATTGAAAAAATGTAAAATCAAAAAAGTGTAAAATCGAAAAACTGAAAAATCGGATATCTTTACAAACGAAAAATTGTAAAATAATTAAACCGGAACTCAAAAACTTGAAAAATTAAAACTGAAATTGTGAACAATTAAAAATCGAAAAATTGTAAAATCATAAAACCGAAAAATCGTTCATTTTAAAATTGAAAAGTTGGAAAATCAGATAATTGTAAAATAGAGAAATTGCAAAATTCAAAAATCTAAAAATAGTGAAATTATGAAATTGAACAATCAAAAACCTGAGAAATTGAAATTTGAAATTGTGAAAAATTAAAAATAAAGCATTTGGAAAATCGAAACAACAAAATTCGGATAATTGAAAATTCAAAAATTGAACAACTGAAAAAAACGAAAAATTTTTAAAACGAAGGATTAGAAAATTGGAAATTGGGAAATTGATTAATTAAAACCCGAATAATTGAGACATCTAAAAATTGAAAAAATGTAAAATTGAAATATCAAAAAAGTATAAAATAGAAAAATCAAAAAAGTGTAAAATTGAAAAACCGAAAAATCGAATATTTTTAAGAACGATAAACTGTAAAATAATTAAAGCGAAAAGTCAAAAACTTGAAAAATTAAAACTGAACGTTTGAATAATTAAAAATCGAAAAATTGTAAAGTTACAAAATCGGGAAATCGTTAATTTTAAATTTAAAAATCTAAAAACTGTGAAATTATGAAATTAAAAAATCAAAAACCTGAAAAACAGAAATTCGAAATTTTGAAAAATTGAAGGTAAAGTATTTGGAAAATCGAAACAACAAAATTCGGATAACTGAAAATTCAAAAATTGAATACTGGAAAAACGAATAATCTTTAAAACGATGGATTAGAAAATTAGAAATTGAGAAAAATCAAAAAAGTGTAAAATCGAAAAACCAAAAAATGTGATATCTTCAAACACAAAAAATTGTAAAATAATTAAACCGAAAAGTCAAATATGTACTTAAAAAATTAGAACCGAAATTTTGAACAATTAAAAATCAAAAAATTGAAACATGGTAAAATTACAAAATTGAATAATCGTAAACTTCAAAATTTATTAAGCTATAAAAATCAAACATTGCAAATTATTAAACTCAAAAATCGAAAAATTAAAAACTAAATAGTCCAAAATTTCAAAAATCGAATGATTCCAAAACCAAGGAATTGAAAAATCAGAAATCGAAAAACTGATTTGTTAAAAACGAGACAATTGAGAAATCGAAAAGGTAAAAATATAAAACCGAAAAATCAAAAAATTGCAAAATTACAAAACCGAAAAATCGTTAATTTTAAAACTGAAAAGTTGAAAAATCAGATCATTGTAAAATAGAAAAATTGTGAAATTATGAAATTGAAAAATCAAATATTTGGAAAACTGAAACAACGAAATTCGAATAATTCAAAATTCAAAAATTGAATAACTGGAAGAACCAATAATCTTTAAAACGATGGATTATAAAATTAAAAATTTAGAAAAATCAAAAAAGTTTACACTTTTTTGATTTTTCTCAATTTCTAATTCGATTTTACAATCGAAAAACCCAAAAATCTGATACCTTTAAACATGAAAAATTGTAAAATAATTAAACAGAAAAGACAAATATGTACTTAAAAAATTAGAACTGAAATTTTAAACAATTATTAAAAATCAAAAAATTGAAACATTGTAAAATTACAAAATAGAAAAACTGGATAATTGTAAACTTCGAAATTTATTAAGCTATTAAAATCAAACATTGCAAAATTATTAAACTCAAAAACCGAACAATTAAAAAGTGAATAGTCGAAAATTTCAAAAATCGAATGATTTCAAAACCGAAAAATTCAAAAATCAAGGAATTGAAAAATTAGAAATTGAAAAACTGATTCGTTAGAAACGAGACAATTTCGAAATCGAAAAAGTGAAAAAATATAAAACCGAAAAACCGTAAATTTTAAAACTGAAAATTTGAAAAATGAGATAATTGTAAAATAGAAAAATTACAAAATTTAAAAATTGTGAAATTATGAAATTGAAAACCAGATATTTGGAAAATCGATACAACGAAATTCGAATAATTGAAGATTCAAAAATTGAATAATTGAAAAAAAACAAAAATTTTTATAACGAAGGATTATAAAATTGAAAATTGAGAAATTGATTAATTAAAAACCAAATAATTGAGACATCCAAAAATTGTAAAAATATAAAATTGAAAGATCAAAAAAGTGTATGATCAGTAGTCCATGGTGCAAGTTACATTTTTTCCAAAATTAATTTTAAATATAAATTCTCCTAAAATGTGTTTAGAGTAAAACTTTGTTAACATGTAAATCTCGAAATTTTGAGCCACATATACAGGCTGAGTCTGAAAGTTTTTAATATACGGGGTGTTTATAAAAAATTCTAAAGTTTTATAATTTTCAAATATCGATCTTTCTTTTTTTTTCTGATAGAACACCCTCACTTTTAATTCCCATTCTTGTTATACGACGATGTGCCTATTAAAAAAGTAAAAAATCGCAATAGCTGTCAACTTTATATTTAATTATGCTGATTTTTTACTTTTTTAAGAGACACATGGAGAAAATATTTAAAAAATTTCAAAAAAATTGGAACTACGGGGCAACATCGCATCGGTATTTCAAAAATAAACTGTTGTATGAAGAGAGCAATCAAAAAATGCAAACATATACAGGGTGTTGTCTTTAAAAAACTAAGTTGTGCATTACGCCAACACAACACTAAGTATAGTAAAAATTATTTTTAGAGTAAAGTTCTGAATGAACCGTACAACTTGGTGACTCACCCTGTATATCCATTTGAAAGATTCAATTTGAAATTCATTCCTAAAAATGTTTGAAAATTTTTATCATTAGTTTCGAAATCCGGTTTAGAGTGTTTTTCTTAAAAACTTTAACAACTCACAGTAATATTTTGGAAAACTATGTCTAGATTATTTGTAAAAATAACTAAAAATTCTGGTAGAGGGAAAAAGAGAATAGATGAACACAGAATATATTCCTACATATACAGGGTGATGCAAAAATGACGTATATAAATATAAATTCCCTGGAACAAACTTTTGAGAATACTAAACGTCAAAGTTAATAACTTTACAGAATATAGCGCCAAACACAATTGCATGAGTAATTAGCTGACAGGGAAGTGGTTTAAAGTTACTTTTATAATCAGTACTTATAATTTATTTCTATTACAACTGAATGTTTTTATTTTAAGCAAATATTTTTTTATTATCGTATATTTAAAGCGTGTACAACGACACTATTAGTTTTAAAAAATTTAACAGTGGAAAAATATTAAAGGATAATTTAAAATAACGTCACAAACCACATTATAATACCGGCAGCATCCCACACAGTGCACTTGACCATCCTCTGGAGGCAATTTCGGTCCAAGGACCAGTGGACACTCACTAAAAATTGTCTCCCCGGGTAACAAATCCCTCGCAGCTTTCACACAAACGCCTTCCTCTGTGAAATCCACCTACAACCCACCAATAAAACCCATTTACAAGCCACAAACTTGCCTCATAATTCTTGCACTTCGTCCAGTGTTCCTGCTCCTTACACTTGTAACAATATCGCATTCCACACTCCTCGCATCCACGCACGGTTGGTTGCCTACACTCCCCACATTCATCGCAGACTTTTTCAGGAATTTCATCCATCTGACCCACTCCCTGGAAATTGATGCTTTTACTTCCACTCACTTTCAAACTATTTCAGGCTTGTTTACGTAAACAACGCAGACGTAAAAATATGAATATTAGCTCTGAAAACGAGGCGAAAGTGGAAGAATGTTTGTTATGTTATCAATGCCTGAGTAGACAGCACAGATTTATAAAAAAATAAACAAATCATGCAAAATTAGTGTTAATATGTGGAGTACTTAGAAACTCGGTCGTATCGACACAACACTCCTGAAATAACTCGTTACGAAAGCTCGTCCGAGTTTAAATTTACAGTTCGCCAAAGATGCCGAAACTGTGCGCTGTGTGCCAAAAAAACGCAACTCAGGCATGCTCTGCGTGCTGTCGGGCGTTTTATTGCAGCAAAGAGCACCAAAAGGATGACTGGAAGAAGCACAAGACTTCGTGCGTTTGCTACAAAGTCACACGGGACGACACCCTTGGGAGGTGTGTCATAGCCACCAGGAACATCCGACCTGGAGAGGTCATCATGAAGAGTCCGCCCTTGCTATTAGGGCCCAAAACTGTAAGCGCCCCGCTTTGCTTAACCTGCCATAAGCGCCTTGACTTGGCCACGAGCAGGTACGAGTGCTGCAAGTGCCACTGGCCTCTGTGCGACGACCAGTGTGCACGTCACCCTCTGCATGAACCCGAGTGTCAAATTTTCGCCAAAGCTAACTTCAAACCGACTGTGAAGAACGACAACTCGAAACAGTCGATATATTCTTCAATAGCACCGCTAAGAGCTCTCCTACTCAAAATGAACGACCCTGACAAGTTCGAGCTACTCATGAACGGTCAATGCCACCTTGACGCACACTTGACCACCCCCTTGTACCATATACTCAAACGCAGCTTGGTCCCTTTCATCACCCAGCTGCTCCAAGTCGACACTAACGACACCGAAATTCTGACAATTTGCTCCATTTTTGACACTAACTGCTTCGAGGTGCGGGACCCTCAAGGGTTGGTTAATATCAGGGGGCTGTACCCTAGTATTGCCCTCCTGTCGCATGATTGCAGACACAACACTAAACACACCTTCGAAGGAGAGGGCTTCGATTTGGTACTCACAGCCACAAGACCCATCAAAAAAGGGGACTTAATCACAGTCACTTACACTCAGACTCTCTGGGGGACTCTAGAGAGACGGGCACACTTGAAGATATCCAAACACTTTGACTGTCTTTGCCAACGGTGCAGCGACCCCACGGAATTTGGGACTTACGTGGGCTCGATTGTCTGCATCCGTTGCCAAGATGGGAAAACCATCAGCTGTGATCCTCTGGATCGCCAAGCTGACTGGAAGTGTGAAAAATGTGGGTTTCTAGTGGTATCAGAAGAGATAGCCTGGAGGAATGAAAGCTTGAAACGAGAGGTGTCCCAGTTGGACAAAGCTGATCCAGGAAGCTTGGAAGAATTTCTGGATAGATACAAAACGGTGCTCCACGAGAAAAACTCTTTCGCTTTGCAGGTAAAGTATGCCTTGACTCAGATGTACGGAAACATGGAAGGATACAGGCTTGAAGGTACGCCACTTGGAACGACCTTGGTGACCGAACTGACTTGTTTTTAGAGCTTTCAGACCAACTAGTCGACAGAAAAGTTCAACTATGTGAGGAGCTTCTGGACGTTGCGGAAATTCTAGAGCCAGGTCTTTCGAGGTTTCGGGGGTCGCTGTTGTACGACTTACACGAGGCACTAATGGCCAAAGTGAAACTAGGACGAAAAGTAGGTTATGGTATCACTAGGCCTGGTTGAGGACAGTTTTCATCCCATTTGAAATGTCCTGTAAAAACGAGAGGAATAGACTTAGGACGATAGTTTTTTTTCTTAACAATCCTTATTAAACATATTTTATCCCTCTTATATTAAAATTTGATTTTCAGTTCTGTTTTCTGTGTAAAAAAAAGTCAATACGTTTTTTAATAAATGTTACACAATTCATATACAGCGTCAGTTAAGTAAACGCTGCAGATGAAAAAATTGCTTGAAATTTTCAGCTGTACCGTGAAATTGGGAAGGCGGAGATTATGCAGGGTAAAATATTTACCCTGACAAAAGAGGCTTCAAATTTTACTCGTTTTGTATAACTCTCCAAGTTTCGATTCTTTCGTCATTTTGTCAAAATAGAAAATATTGGTGGAATTAAAAAAAAAATCAGCACTACACATTCAAAATTATTCGAAAGCTTTATTTTTGATACTCAATGTAAATTGTTGCCTTACAAAAATTGGTCTAAAGTTATTTAGACAGCACTTTCCTCGCTCTTGAAGTTCGGTATAACATATTCAGTTTTGTCGCATAATTGTAAGATTCGATTTAGAGATTTTTTTGACTAATTTTATGTTTTCTCTTATTCAATTTCAAATTTTCAGGCTTTTATTTTTCAATTCCATGATTCTCCACGTTTAAAATTTTTCAATTTTTCAGTTTTTTTAATTTTTAATCTTTCGATTTTTCAAATTTTCGTTTCTTCAAATTTTCATGTTTGATTTTCACTTTTGACATTTTTCAAGTTTTCATCATAAACTTTTTCGTTTTTTTATTTTTGATTTTTCAATTTTACAGTTTCTTGACTTCTAAATTTTTCAATTTTTTAATTCTGCAATTTTTCGATATTATAGTTTCTCATTTTTCGACTTTTCACATTCTCAGTTTTTAATTTTTGTCATTTTCAATTTTTCGTTTCCTCAATTTTTCAAGGTCTCGATTTTTATTTTTCATTTTCCCGAATTTTTTTTAATTTTTATTTTCCCGATTTTATGTCACAAATTTTCATTATTTCAATTCCTTTATACTTATTTTGTTGTTTCTTTCAATTTTTCAATTTTTCGTTTCTTCAATTTTTCGAATTTTCAGTTTCTCAGTTTTTCGTTTCCACAATTTTTCATGTTCTCGATTTTTAGTTTTCAGTTTGGCGAATTTTTAATTTTTATTTTCTCGATTTATATCACAATTGTCTGCTCCTGCATTTTCTTTATTTTGTGTGTTTTTTTTCGATTTTACAATTTTTCATTTGTTCAATTTTTAAAATTTTCATACTTTGAATTTTCAGTTCGTCCATTTTTCAGTTTTTAAATTTTTCACTTTGCAGTTTTTGAATTTCCTGTCTTCCGATTTTCCAATTTCTTTAATTTTAAATATTTCTATTTAATAATACATATTTCTTTTTTTTTTATTTTTCACTTTTTCGATTCTTAAGATTTTTCAAGTTTTCATTTTGTAATTTTTCGTTTTTACTTTTGGTTTTTCAATTTTACAATTTCTCGACTTCCAAAATTTTCAATTTTTCTTTCCTTCAATTTTTCGGATTGCATCAGTTTTTCAATTTGGAAATTTTTCAATATTACAGATTTTCATTTTTCGATTTTTCAGTTTCTCAATTTTTCATTTTTCCCTTTTCCAATTTTTTGTTTCCGATTTTTATTTTTCTGTTCCCGATTTTTTAATTTTCACTTTTTCGATTTTATATCACAATTGTACTCTTTTTGATTTCCTTTATTTTTTGTTGTTTCTCTCGATTTTACAATTTTTCCTTTATTAAATTTTTCAAATATTCAGGTTTTTAGCAATTTTTCTTCAAATTTTCAAGTTTGATTTTCACTTTGTACATTTTTTAAGTTTTTATTATACACTTTTTCGTTTTTTTATTTTTGATTTTTCAATTTTACAATTTGTCAACTTCCAAATTTTCCAATTTTTCAATATTACAATTTCTCTTTTTTCCTTTTTTCACATTCTCGATTTTTAATTGTGCCCTTTTTCAATTTTCCGTCCCCTCAATTTTTCAAATCCCCGATTTTTATTTTGCATTTTCCTGATTTTTTATTTTTCATTTTCTCGATTTTATATCACAATTTTTTGTTTTTTTATTTACTTAATTTTTGTTGTTTCTTTCGATTTTCCAATTTTTCATTTATTAAATTTTTCAAATTTTCGGGCCAATCGATTCCAATTCGTCGATTTCCCGATTTTTAAATTTTTCAGTTTGCAGTTTTTGGGTTTCCACCCCTTTTTTACTTTTTGGATTTTCAATTTTTCGTTAAACTTTAGATTTCTCAAATTTTCGACAGTTTTATACTTCGATTTCTTAATTTTTTTCAACTTTTTAATGTTTTAATTTTTCTTTTTTAAAATTTTTAAATTTATTTATTTGTCGATTTATCGAATTCAGATATTTGGATGTTTTGAGAGCTCAATTTCTCAATTTATCAATTTCTCAATTTTTTTCTATTTCTCGATGTTTCGATTTTTGGATTTCTCGGTTTTTCGATTTTCCAATTTTTCGATGTTTCAATTTTTTAGTTATCCGATTTTTCAATTTTTTTAAATTCTGGAGTTTCGATTTGTCGATTTTTCATTTCTTCGATTTTTAAGTTTTAGATTTTCGAATTTTTCTTTTTTGATTCTTTGATGTTTGGATTTCTCCATTTTTCAATCTGTTCAATGTTTTAAATTTTAGATTTTTCGATTTCTGGATTTTTTGATTTTCCAGTTCTTCAGTATTTCTATTTTACAATTTTTCAAATTTTGACGTTGCTAAATTTTCAGTTTTCCCGATTTTTCGATTAATATATATATTTTTACCGTTTCTCGAATTCGCAGTTTCGATTTGTCAGTTCTTCAATTCTTCAGTTTTTCGTTTTTTAAACTTTAGATTTTTCAATTTTCGACTGTTTTATATATATTTCGATTTGTGAATTTTTCGAGTTTTCAATTTTTTCAGAACTCGATTTATCGAGATTCGGATGTTTCGATGTTTTGATTGTCTCAGTTTTTGAATTTTTCGATGTTTCGATTTTTCGATTTATCGGTTTTTCGTTTTTTTACTTTTCGGCTTTTCGATTTTTGAATTTTCCGATTTTTCAATTTTTCATTTTTTTTAATTTTTAGTCTTTCGATTTTTCAAATCTTCGTTTCTCCAAATTTTCATGTTTGATTTTCACTTTTGACATTTTTCAAGTTTTCATCATAAACTTTTTCGTTTTTTAATTTTCGAATTTTCAATTTTTCGTTTCTTCAATTTTTCGAATTAACAGTTTCTCAATTTTTCGTTTCCACAATTTTTCATGTTCTCGATTTTTATTTTTCAGTTTGGCGAATTTTTAATTTTTATTTTCTCGATTTATATCACAATTGTCCGCTCCTTAATTTTCATTATTTTCTGTGTTTTTTTTCGATTTTACAATTTTTCATTTGTTCAATTTTTCAAATTTTCAAGCTTTGAATTTTCAGTTCATCCATTTTTCAGTTTTTAAATTTTTCACTTTGCAGTTTTTGAATTTCCTGTCTTCCGATTTTCCAATTTCTTTAATTTTAAATATTTCTATTTAATAATACATATTTCTTTTTTTTTTATTTTTCACTTTTTCGATTCTTAAGATTTTTCAAGTTTTCATTTTGTAATTTTTCGTTTCTATTTTTGATTTTTCAATTTTACAATTTCTGGACTTCCAAAATTTTCAATTTTTCGTTTGTTCAATTTTTCGGTTTGCATCAGTTTTTCAACTTGGCAATTTTTCAATATTACAGATTTTCATTTTTCGATTTTTCATTTTTCCCTTTTCCAATTTTTTGTTTCCGATTTTTATTTTTCTGTTCCCGATTTTTTAATTTTCACTTTTTCGATTTTATATCACAATTGTACTTTTTTTGATTTCGTTAAATTTTTTGTTGTTTCTCTCGATTTTACAATTTTTTCTTTATTAAATTTTTCAAATTTTCAGGTTTTTAACTTTTTAGCAATTTTTCTTCAAATTTTCAAGTTTGATTTTCACTTTGTACATTTTTTCGTTTTTTTATTTTTGCTTTTTCAATTTTACAATTTGTCGACTTCCAAATTTTCCAATTTTTCATTATTACAATTTCTCATTTTTCCATTTTTCACATTCTCGATTTTTAATTGTGCCCTTTTTCAATTTTCCGTCCCCCCAATTTTTCAACTCCCCGATTTCTATTTTGCATTTTCCTGATTTTTTATTTTTCATTTTCTCGATTTTATATCACAATTTTTTGTTTTTTCATTTCCTTAATTTTTGTTGTTTCTTTCGATTTTTCAATTTTTCATTTATTCAATTTTTCAAATTTTCAAGCCAATCGATTCCAGTTCGTCGATTTTCCGATTTTAAAATTTTTCAGTTTGCAGTTTTTGGGTTTCCACCCCTTTTTTACTTTTAGATTTCTCAAATTTTCGACAGTTTTATACTTCGATTTCTTAATTTTTTTTGATGTTTTAATTTTTCTTTTTTAAAATTTTTATTTTTTTTTATTTCTCGATTTATCGAATTCAGATGTTTGGATGTTTTGATTGCTCAATTTATCAATTTCTCAATTTTTTTCTATTTCTCGATGTTTCGAATTTTGGATTTCTCGGTTTTTCGATTTTCCAATTTTTCGATTTTTCAGTTATCCGATTTTTCAATCGTTTTAAATTCTGGAGTTTCGATTTGTCGATTTTTCAGTTTTTCGATTTTTAAGTTTTAGATTTTCAAACTTTTCTTTTTTGATTTTTTGATGTTTGGATTTCTCCACTTTTCAATTTTGCGATATTTCAATTGTTCAATGTTTTAAATTTTAGATTTTTCGATTTCTGGATTTTTTGATTTTCCAGTTCTTCAGTATTTTATTTTACAATTTTTCAAATTTTGACGTTGCTAAATTTTCAGTTTTCCGATTTTTCGATTAATATACATATTTTTTTAATTTACCGTTTCTCGCATTCGCAGTTTCAATTTTTCACATTCTCAGTTTTTAATTTTTGTCATTTTCAATTTTTTGTTTCCTCAATTTTTCAAGTTCTCCATTTTTATTTTTCGTTTTCCCGATTTTTTTTTTATTTTTTTCTCGATTTTATGTCACAAATTTTCATTTTTTCAATTCCTTTATTTTTTGTTGTTTCTTTCGATTTTTCAACTTTTCGTTTCTTCAATTTTTCGAATTTTCAGTTTCTCAATTTTTCGTTTCCACAATTTTTCATGTTCCCGATTTTTATTTTTCAGTGTGGCGAATTTTTAATTTTTATTTAGTCGATCTAAATCACAATTGTCCGTTTCTTCATTTCCTTTATTTTCTGTGACTTCCAAAATTTTCAATTTTTTGTTTTCCTTCAATTATTCGGTTTGCTTCAGTTTTTCAATTTGGCAATTTTTCAATATTACAGATTTTCATTTTTCGATTTTTCAGTTTCTCAGTTTTTCATTTTTCCCTTTTCCAATTTTTTGTTTCCGATTTTTATTTTTCTGTTCCCGATTTTTTAATTTTCAGTTTATCGATTTTATATCACAATTGTACTGTTTTTGATTTCCTTTATTTTTTGCTATTTCTCTCGCTTTTACAATTTTTCCTTTATTAAATTTTTCAAATATTCAGGTTTTTAGCAATTTTTCTTCAAATTTTCAAGTTTGATTTTGTGCATTTTTTAAGTTTTTATTATACACTTTTTTGTTTTTTTTTTTTTTGATTTTTCAATTTTACAATTTGTCGACTTCCAAATTTTCCAATTTTTCATTATTGCAATTTCTCATTTTTCCATTTTTCACTTTCTCTATTTTTAATTGTGCCCTTTTTCAATTTTCCGTCCCCTCAATTTTTCAAATCCCCGATTTTTATTTTGCAATTTCCTGATTTTTTATTTTTCATTTTCTCGATTTTATATCACAATTTTTTGTTTTTTTATTTACTTAATTTTTGTTGTTTCTTTCGATTTTCCAATTTTTCATTTATTCAATTTTTCAAATTTTCGGGCCAATCGATTCCAATTCGTCGATTTCCCGATTTTTAAATTTTTCAGTTTGCAGTTTTTGGGTTTCCACCCCTTTTTTACTTTTTGGATTTTCAATTTTTCGTTAAACTTTAGATTTCTCGAATTTTCGACAGTTTTATACTTCGATTTCTTAATTTTTTTCAACTTTTTGATGTTTTAATTTTTCTTTTTTAAAATTTTTAATTTTTTTCTATTTCTCGATGTTTCGAATTTTGGATTTCTCGGTTTTTCGATTTTCCAATTTTTCGATTTTTCAGTTATCCGATTTTTCAATCGTTTTAAATTCTGGAGTTTCGATTTGTCTATTTTTCAGTTTTTCGAGTTTTAAGTTTTAGATTTTCGAATTTTTCTTTTTTGATTCTTTGATGTTTGGATTTCTCCTTTTTCAATTTTGCGATATTTCAATTGTTCAATGTTTTAAATTTTAGATTTTTCGATTTGTGGATTTTTTGATTTTCCAGTTCTTCAGTATTTTATTTAACAATTTTTCAAATTTTCAGTTTTCCGATTTTTCCATTAATATACATATTTTTTTATTTTACCGTTTCTCGAATTCGCAGTTTCGATTTTTCAGTTCTTCAATTCTTAAGTTTTTCGTTTTTTAAACTTTAGATTTTTCAATTTTCGACTGTTTTATATATATTTCGATTTGTGAATTTTTCGAGTTTTCAATTTTTTGAGAACTCGATTTATCGAGATTCGGATGTTTCGATGTTTTGATTATCTCAGTTTTTGAATTTTTCGATGTTTCGATTTTTCGATTTATCGGTTTTTCGTTTCTTTACTTTTCGGCATTTCGATTTTTGAATTTTCCGATTTTTCAATTTTTCAGAATTTTTAATTTATAGTCTTTCGATTTTTCAAATCTTCGTTTCTCCAAATTTTCATGTTTGATTTTCACTTTTGACATTTTTCAAGTTTTCATCATAAACTTTTTTGTTTTTTTTAGTTTTCGATTTTTCAATTTTTCGTTTCTTCAATTTTTCATGTTCTCGATTTTTATTTTTCAGTTTGGCGAATTTTTAATTTTTATTTTCTCGATTTATATCACAATTGTCCGCTACTTCATTTTCTTTATTTTCTGTGTTTTTTTTTACGATTTTACAATTTTTCATTTGTTCAATTTTTCAAATTTTCAGGGTTTGAATTTTCAGTTCGTCCATTTTTCAATTTTTAAATTTTTCGCTTTGCAGTTTTTGGATTTCCAGTCTTCCAATTTTCCAATTTCTTTAATTTTAAATCTTTCTATTTAATAATACATATTTCTTTTTTTCTTATTTTTCACTTTTTCGATTCTTAAGATTTTTCAAGTTTTCATTGTGTAATTTTTCGTTTTTATTTTTGATTTTTCAATTTTACAATTTCTCGACTTCCAAAATTTTCAATTTTTCGTTCCTTCAATTTTCAATTTGGCAATTTTTCAATATTACAGATTTTCTTTTTTCGATTTTCCAGTTTCTCAATTTTTCATTTTTCCCTTTTCCAATTTTTTGTTTCCGATTTTTATTTTTCTGTTCCCGATTTTTTAATTTTCAGAATTTTCACTTTTTCGATTTTATATCACAATTTTACTTTTTTTGACTTCCTTTATTTTTTGTTGTTTCTCTCGCTTTGACAATTTTTCCTTTGTTAAATTTTTCAAATATTCAGGTTTTTAGCAATTTTTCTTCAAATTTTCAAGTTTGATTTTCACTTTATACATTTTTTAAGTTTTTATAATACACTTTTTCGTTTTTTTATTTTTGATTTACCAATTTTACAATTTGTCGACTTCCAAATTTTCCAATTTTTCATTATTACAATTTCTCATTTTTCCATTTTTCACATTCTCGATTTTTAATTGTGCCCTTTTTCAGTTTTCCGTCCCCTCAATTTTTCAACTCCCCGATTTTTATTTTGCATTTTCCTGATTTTTTATTTTTCATTTTCTCGATTTTATATCACAATTTTTTGTTTTTTCATTTCCTTAATTTTTGTTGTTTCTTTCGATTTTCTAATTTTCCATTTATTCAATTTTTCAAATTTTCAGGCCAATCGATTCCAATTCGTCGATTTTTCGATTTTAAAATTTTTCAGTTTGCAGTTTTTTACTTTTTGGATTTTCAAGTTTTCGTTAAACTTTAGATTTCTCAAATTTTCGACACTTTTATACTTTGATTTCTTAATTTTTTTTCAACTTTTTTATGTTCTAATTTTTCTTTTTTAAAATATTAAATTTTTTTTTTATTTCTCGATTTATCGAATTCAGATATTTGGATGTTTTGATTGCTCAATTTCTCAATTTATCAATTTCTCAATTTTTTTCTATTTCTCGATGTTTCGAATTTTGGATTTCTCGGTTTTTCGATTTTCCAATTTTTCGATGTTTCGATTTTTCAGTTATCCGATTTTTCAATCGTTTTAAATTATGGAGTTTCGATTTGTCTATTTTCAGTTTTTCGATTTTTAAGTTTCAGATTTTCAAATTTTTCTTTTTTGATGTTTGGATTTCTCCATTTTTCAATTTTGCGATATTTCAATTGTTCAATGTTTTAAATTTTAGATTTTTCGATTTCTAGATTTTTTGATTTTCCAATTCTTCAGTATTTATATTTCACAATTTTTCAAATTTTGACGTTGCTAAATTTTCAGTTTTCCGATTTTTCGATTAATATATATATTTTTTTATTTCACCGTTTCTCGAATTCGCAGTTTCGATTTGTCAGTTCTTCAATTCTTCAGTTTTTCGTTTTTTAAACTTTAGATTTTTCAATTTCCGACTGTTCCAATTTTTTAAATTTTCAAGTTTTGACGTTTCTGAATTTTCAGTTTTCCGATTTCTCAATTAATCTATTTTTTGGTTTTCCCATTTTCGACTTGCGAAGGTTTCGATTTCCAGTTTTTCAGTTCCTCAATTTTTCGATTTTTCAGGCTCCAGATTTTTCAATTTTTCGGTTCTTTAGGTTTGCAGTTTTTCGGCTTTTCGATTTCCCAATTTTCCAATTTTTTAATTTCCCAATTTTTGGATATTTCGTTCAATTTTGTGAGTTTTCTCAGTTTTTCGATTCTTCAGTTTTTCAATTTTGGGATTTTTTAGTATTTCGACTTTTGGATTTTTCACGTTTTGGATTTTTTGGATTTCACGACTTTTTACTATTTGGATTTTCAATTTTTAAAATTTTAAGTTTTTCGATTTCTCGAGTTTTCAGTTCTTCTAAATTTGAATTTTTCTATTTTCGAAATATAAAGTTAATTATAAGTTACTTTTTTAAAAGACACAGTAGAAGAACAAGAACAAAAACAGAGTAAGATACGGTACTAATAAAAATACAGGGTGTGAGTGAGAATAAAAAAATTTGGCTATTGAAATTCCATTTATCATGGGATTGTTTATGCCTCAAATTTACGTCCCATTATCTTTCCATTAACCATTCGTTATGATGATTCACTAGATGGGACACGAAAACTCAAAAAAAGAGTGATACCACCTTAAGTCCATCACGTTGTTTCTTTGCAGGAGTTGGAAGCTAAGGCGCTGGAATGCTTGAAGGAAGCGGGCCAGATTTTGGAAACTGAGCCGGATTTGGGACCCATGGTTAAAAAGAAAATGGAGAAGCTAACATAGATGTCTTATGATTGTGTTGCAGAGGCAGAAAGAAGCTTTTAGACAGCTTTGTAGGTTCCAAGTAGAGGTGGAATAGGTGCTGGGCTAAGTAGAGGGTTGTAATTCCGGTAAAGTAATGATGGAAAAAGGTTGGAATACCGGAAACGGTGCAACGAAAGGAGCTTGTTCGTTTTAATGTTTTGTCTTTGTCGGTATTTGGTCTATTTTGTGTCAATGTAAAGTGTAACCTAGGGTACAACGTCAAAGATTATGCAAATAAATGAATAAGAGCGTACCTTGAGTTATTTTATTTCCGATATTTTCTACATTAATTTTTGTAAAAAATTTACAACAAATAAATTAAATTAAATTGAACTACATTTGATGATAATACAGCAACGTACTTAAAAAGATTACCAAAGACAGTTGACTGAGGGCAATATTGCTGCTGCTGGGGTCTGGGTCTGGAGGGTTGCCAGTAGGGTCAGAAGGCTCTGTGGTCTCGCCAGTACCACCAGAAGTTGCCCCTGTGGTCTCGTCAGTACCACCAGAAGTTGCCTCTGTGGTCTCGTTAGTAGAGTCGGAAGATGACGGGTCCGCAGTGTCGTTAGTACTCTCGGTGGGTGGCTCTGTGGTCTGAGGAGGATCAGAAGTTGTGGCCGACGGTTCTGTGGAGTCGGGGGATGTCTCTGGATTGTCTGAGGTGGCATCAGCAGGTACTATTTTCGCACTGAGCTTGTGTTTTTGCAACAGTACTTGCGTACTGTTGAGTTTACAACTTATAACACTGTAAGAATCTTGAAGTTTAGTACAAACATCATCGCCTGAGATGAAAGCTACACATTGCTGGATTTTCTCTCTATTTCCGTCTGTTTTAACAAAATATGAACATCAAAAATACTGAGTTTATTGAACTGCTGGTTTACCTTGAATTAACTCAGCTTGGAGACATGCGTAATTTGAAGAAGCTAAGTCACTTTTAGCTATCCCGATGAGTTCGGTATTGCGGAAAGTGCACTCTGTTACTGGAACTTCCGAGTCTTCGCAAGTCTTACCACGACATGTAGGACACTTCAGGGTTACGCCTAAGAATAATATTTAATTGGATATTCGTTTTTTAAATAATTCTTTTTTTAAATTTTTTCTGTATTTATTTTAAATAAAAAAGAGATGTGTTAAAATTATTTCCACCTATCTCATTCAAATGCATTAAAGTTTACACGACCTTTATACAAATGCTTGAGAATACTCTTCAGAAAGTGTTTACAAAAGATAGCAGAAAGTTCCAGTTAAACTGACACAATTGTGAAGAAATTACACATAATTCTGAAGTACCTTCTATTAGGTACACTATTAAATCGGTTTCAGAAAATTTGTTGTTTTATTACCTGAGTGGGCCACAATTAAAACTGAGATGACAATATAAATGTAATCCATTTCTAAAGAAGTCTCACTGCTTTCACAAAATCACCCGATGAACTGCCAAACTACAATGTGTCCACCAGTAATTGCGAGGATTATATACACATCACGTTCCCTATGCATTTTTCTTTTGTTATCGCCCTATCAATGCAACGATAAACTACTAAAAAATATTGAGTACCTATTCTGTTGTTTCACAATTTCGCTGCAATGCACTGATTTTTCATTTTTGCTTCTCAAGTGCTTTAAACTAAAAAGGTATTGTTAACAATAGGGTCTGTGACATGTATTATCTATATTGCTTTTAGTGTATAGAAATTATTAGAAAAAATAAAATTTCGCAAAATCAAGATATATTGTTTCATTGCTAAAATATGTCAAGTACATTGGAACAACGTGGCAACATCGCATCGTAATTAAAAAAAAAACGGTTGTGGTAAAGCCTAAGAATAAGACAATCAAAATATGTAAAGATGTATAGGGTGTTTCACTTAAAAAAAAAATGGTCGAAAAGTTATTTCGACAGAATTTCGCCGGTTTCTGAAGCACAGTCCAACAAATACTGCTTCTTTGAAAAATTATAAAATTTGATTTTGCGAAATTTTACTTTCTAGTGATAATCTCTATGGTTCTATTCGTTCTAAAAAAAAACAGTTGGAACCCCCTGAGAAGGTTTCACATTCTTAAAAAATTCTAGCTTAGGAATTTTTCGATTTTTAGGTTATCAATTGTTTTTTCGAATTTTCTGTTTTCGCGCCTTCATTTTTTAAGTTTTATGAATTAAAATTTTTCGATTTTTCAACTTTCTAATTTTCGATTTTCGAGTTTTCAAATTTCAAGTCTGTCGATTTATATTATTATAACTTTTCAATTTTCACACTTCAAAATTCGTAAACTTGAAAAATCCAAAAGTTGAAGAAACCAAAAATTCAAAGATTTAACTCAAATTTTAAATTTTCAAAAAACTAAAACAGCACAAAATGGAAAATTCTAAAAACTGGAAAGATGAAAAAATCGAAAGTGGAAAAATCGAAAATCTGGAGACACAAAAAATGAAAAATTCGAAAGAAAATAAAAAACTCGAAAATTTAAAACACCGAAGAATTGAAAAATGGAAAAATGAAAAAACAATACGACAAATCGAATTTAAAGACAGGAAAAATCAAAAGTTAATAATCGAGAAATTTTTATTCGAAAACTTGAAAAACTGTGGAAATAAAAAATGGAAATTTCAAAAAATCATAATTTCTGAAATTTGAAAAAACGAAAAATTGGGATTTCTTTGCAAAATCGGAAAAAATGAAAGCTCGAAAAGTTGAAAAATAAAACTCTTAAACTTAAAAAAAGCTTCAAAATTCGGAAACTTGAAAAATCCAAAAGTCGTAAGATTGAGAATGTTAGAAATTGAATAATCTAAAATTTGCAAAATGGTAAAATTAAAGGAACGATTTTTATTTTTTTGGGATTTTCAAGTTTCTGAATTAAAATTTTTCCAATTTTTCTTTTCTTTAAATTTATGACTTTGAAATTTTTCCATTTTTCAATTTGCCGATTTTTTATTTGAATTCTCGATTTGTTGTTTCCTCAGTTTTTCGATTTTTCAACTTTCGGAAATACAACCCCCGAGAAGGTTTCACATTCTTAAAAACCGACATTGTCCCCCCCACCCCCCGAGAAAGTTTTATATTAAAAAAAAAATAAGTGGGACCTCCGAGAAGGTTTCACATTCTTAAAAAATTCTAGCTTAGGAGTTTTTCGATTTTTAGGTTATCAATGATTTTTTCGAATTTTCTATTTTCGCGTCTTCATGTTTTAAGTTTTATGAACTAAAATTTTTCGATTTTTCAACTTGTTAATTTTCGATTTTCGAGTTTTCAAATTTCAAGTCTATCGATTTATATTATTATAATTTTTCAATTTTCACACTTCAAAATTCGTAAACTAAAAAATCCAAAAGTTGAAGAAAACAAAAATTCAAAAGATGGGAATTAAATTTTAAAATTTTAAAAAACTAAAACAACATAAAATGGAAATTCCTAAAAATGAGAAGAAGACAGAAAATTAAAATTTTGGAACATGAAAAAATCGAAAGTAGAAAAAACGAAATTCTGGAGAAACAAACAATGAAAAATTCAAAAGAAAGTAAAAAACTCGAAAATTTAAAACACTGAAGAATTGAAAAAGGGAAAAATGAAAAAACAATGCTACAAATCGAATTTAAAGACAAAAAATTTCAAAAATTAATAATCGAAAAATTTTGATTCGAAAACTTGTGAAAATAAAATATGGAAATTTCAAAAAATTATAATTTCTGAAATTTAAAAAAACGAAAAATTCGGAAACTTGAAAAATTCAGAAGTCGTAAGATTGAGAAAGCTAGAAATTGAATAATCTAAAATTTGCAAAATCGTAAAATTAAAGGAACGATTTTTATTTTTTTGGGATTTTCAAGTTTCCGATTTAAAATTTTTCGATTTTTTTCTTTCTTTAAATTTATGACTTTGAAATTTTTCCATTTTTCAATTTGCCGATTTTTTATTTGAATTGTCGATTTGTTGTTTCCTGAGTTTTTCGATTTTTCAACTTTCGGAAATACTACCCCCGAGAAAGTTTCACATTCGTTGTCCCCCCCACCCCCCGAGAAAGTTTTATATTAAAAAAAAATAATAATTGGGACCCCCGAGAAGGTTTCACATTCTTAAAAAATTCTAGCTTAGGAGTTTTTCGATTTTTAGGTTATCAATGATTTTTTCGAATTTTCTATTTTCGCGTCTTCATGTTTTAAGTTTTATGAACTAAAATTTTTCGATTTTTCAACTTTCTAATTTTCGATTTTCGAGTTTTGAAATTTCAAGCCTGTTGATTTATATTATTTTAATTTTTCAATTTTCACACTTCAAAATTCGTAAACTTGAAAAATCCAAAAGTTGAAGAAACCATAAATTCGAAGATTTAAATCAAATTTTAAATTTTCAAAAAACTAAAACAGCACAAAATGGAAAATTCTAAAAATTGAAAAGATGAAAAAATCGAAAATCTGGAGACACAAAAAATGAAAAATTCGAAAGAAAATAAAAAACTCGAAAATTTAAAACACCGAAGAATTGAAAAATGGAAAAATGAAAAAACAATACGACAAATCGAATTTAAAGACAGGAAAAATCAAAAGTTAATAATCGAGAAATTTTTATTCGAAAACTTGAAAAACTGTGGAAATAAAAAATGGAAATTTCAAAAAATCATAATTTCTGAAATTTGAAAAAACGACAAATTGGGATTTCTTTGCAAAATCGGAAAAAATGAAAGCTCGAAAAGTTGAAAAATAAAACTCTTAAACTTAAAAAAAGCTTCAAAATTCGGAAACTTGAAAAATCCAAAAGTCGTAAGATTGAGAATGTTAGAAATTGAATAATCTAAAATTTGCAAAATGGTAAAATTAAAGGAACGATTTTTATTTTTTTGGGATTTTCAAGTTTCTGAATTAAAATTTTTCCAATTTTTCTTTTCTTTAAATTTATGACTTTGAAATTTTTCCATTTTTCAATTTGCCGATTTTTTATTTGAATTCTCGATTTGTTGTTTCCTCAGTTTTTCGATTTTTCAACTTTCGGAAATACAACCCCCGAGAAGGTTTCACATTCTTAAAAACCGACATTGTCCCCCCCACCCCCCGAGAAAGTTTTATATTAAAAAAAAAATAAGTGGGACCTCCGAGAAGGTTTCACATTCTTAAAAAATTCTAGCTTAGGAGTTTTTCGATTTTTAGGTTATCAATGATTTTTTCGAATTTTCTATTTTCGCGTCTTCATGTTTTAAGTTTTATGAACTAAAATTTTTCGATTTTTCAACTTGTTAATTTTCGATTTTCGAGTTTTCAAATTTCAAGTCTATCGATTTATATTATTATAATTTTTCAATTTTCACACTTCAAAATTCGTAAACTAAAAAATCCAAAAGTTGAAGAAAACAAAAATTCAAAAGATGGGAATTAAATTTTAAAATTTTAAAAAACTAAAACAACATAAAATGGAAATTCCTAAAAATGAGAAGAAGACAGAAAATTAAAATTTTGGAACATGAAAAAATCGAAAGTAGAAAAAACGAAATTCTGGAGAAACAAACAATGAAAAATTCAAAAGAAAGTAAAAAACTCGAAAATTTAAAACACTGAAGAATTGAAAAAGGGAAAAATGAAAAAACAATGCTACAAATCGAATTTAAAGACAAAAAATTTCAAAAATTAATAATCGAAAAATTTTGATTCGAAAACTTGTGAAAATAAAATATGGAAATTTCAAAAAATTATAATTTCTGAAATTTAAAAAAACGAAAAATTCGGAAACTTGAAAAATTCAGAAGTCGTAAGATTGAGAAAGCTAGAAATTGAATAATCTAAAATTTGCAAAATCGTAAAATTAAAGGAACGATTTTTATTTTTTTGGGATTTTCAAGTTTCCGATTTAAAATTTTTCGATTTTTTTCTTTCTTTAAATTTATGACTTTGAAATTTTTCCATTTTTCAATTTGCCGATTTTTTATTTGAATTGTCGATTTGTTGTTTCCTGAGTTTTTCGATTTTTCAACTTTCGGAAATACTACCCCCGAGAAAGTTTCACATTCATTGTCCCCCCCACCCCCCGAGAAAGTTTTATATTAAAAAAAAATAATAATTGGGACCCCCGAGAAGGTTTCACATTCTTAAAAAATTCTAGCTTAGGAGTTTTTCGATTTTTAGGTTATCAATGATTTTTTCGAATTTTCTATTTTCGCGTCTTCATGTTTTAAGTTTTATGAACTAAAATTTTTCGATTTTTCAACTTTCTAATTTTCGATTTTCGAGTTTTGAAATTTCAAGCCTGTTGATTTATATTATTTTAATTTTTCAATTTTCACACTTCAAAATTCGTAAACTTGAAAAATCCAAAAGTTGAAGAAAACAAAAATTCAAAAGATTTAAATTAAATTTGAAAATTTCAGAAAACTAAAACACAAAATGGAAAATTCTAAAAAATGAGAAGACAGAAAATTAAAAATTGGGAAGATGAAAAAATCGAAAATCTGGAGAAACAAAA